CCGTTGGACGCGTTGGAAGCGGACCTTGCTGTTGACGCCTTAGTTGAAGCAACCACTGCGTTTGTCACTGCCGCATTCATGGAGCCGGATGAAGCTAAGAGAATCGAGAAGCTAGCCGATGTCAACAACATCGTGTTGCCGCGACTTCTGGGTGGTCTCGAAAAGCGCGTTGTCGGCCCTTTCTTCTTGGGCACCACGCCGTCATTTGCGGATATTTACATGTTGGATTTTCACATGCAGATTTGGACTGCATTCCCAAGTCTACTCAAGATGGCCCCCGACCATTACCCTAACCTTGCAGCTATCGCAGATCGCCTGAGCAATTCGATCGAGTTGGCCGCGTATTTCAAGCCAAAGTAAGGGATCGAAGCCTTCCTCCCATTCAACACGACACCGTTGGAGCATGTGAACTGCAGCTCTAGTTGCCTAGTGCACCACGCCGTTTGAAGTTGTTCGTGGTGGCCGCGGCGCGCGGCTTAGCTATGGTAGTGCGATTCACGTCGTTTGGAATCAAGGGCGGCAACACGCACGAATGGTAATTCTAGGATACACAGGCAAGCAACGCAGGACAGTCATCAGTGGATCAGAGCGCTTCGAGTCGTCAGAATGTTCAACATATTCAGACGGCACTTCCAAAAGATAAGCTATGGTCTATCATATTCGACCGATGACTCTCGACACATGCAATCCAGAACCTACTCTACACAACTTAGCCCTCATCTTCGGATACGTTGACCTCAACGAAATTCAGAGTAATTCTAGAGATTGAACATCATCGGGCTTCGTCCTGCACGTCCGAGCACTCTTGGCACGACGTGCCGTTCCCCTGTCAACTTTGCTTCTGCCGCTTCTCCAAAACGCAATGGAGTGGCAACCATTCAGCATCTCGACCAATCAGAATGACAAACCATATTTAACAGGTCCTGTATAAGTTGGTGTCATGCTCTGTGAGGCTGCCACGTCATAGGCCATTCCTACTTACCATGCAACGGAGATCAAGCCAGCGACGTGGAAGATCAGGAAGGAAGGAACCACGGAGGAGAGGCGGAAGATTTCAAACCAGGGTAGCGCCCACGGCTATGGCTCGCTTTGCGGAAGCTCTGTGCGAGACCTGCTATGGGAGGACTCGACTCGCTTAAGTCATTTCAATTACGTACTTAATTGAAGTTGCTTGAAGCCAACACCAACGTTGGTGGCACATGCGGGGCACGAAGGTGATCAGCGGCACGGCCATTTCGGCCAAGATCAGACAAGAGATCAAGTCCAATGTACGTGGCGCTCTTGAGCCGTTCAGTCGTAACTAGTTGTCTTAGATTGACTCGGTCATCGCGCGCACCCAAACCACACAGGTACAAAGGCATGTGCACTCGTGAACTGACGCAAGAACTAGCGCCCTGGGCTGGGTATGATCATGGTTGGCGATCGGCAAGATTCCCGGTTGTACGTTGAAGCGAAGGGTCGTGCGTGTTCAGAAGTGGGCATCCGCGCCGAGAACCGGTTTTTTGCCCAGTCGACCTCACAAGTACCTCACAGCGAGTTGTGCCCTGTACCTGATGCCACTCATTAGGACGAGATCCTTAAGCAAGTGCACGCCTTCAACGCAGATCCCACAATCGATGGTATCCTCATTCAGGTAAGCATGTCATGCCGTCAAAAAATGAGCATTTATTGTAGATGCCGCTGCCAAACTCCATTGACGAAAAAGCCATCATCGATGCAGTCTTGCCTACGAAAGACGTGGATGGCCTGCATCCGTTCAACGTTGGCGAGCTTGCTATGCGACGGCGGTCGCCTTTCTTTACCGCGTGTACGCCGGAGGGAATCGTGGAGATGCTGGACCAGGAAGAGGTCCCGATTGCAGGCAAGGTGGCCGTGGTGCTAGGCCGCAGCGATCTTGTGGGCAATCCTGTGGGCATGTTGCTGCGAAAACGGCACGCTACTGTCATTTCATGCCATTCCAGGACCAACCAGGTTGACCCTTGTCCAAACGACGCACCTGACGACGCTCGTGCCCATGCAATTTTCTAGATCGAAACCCTCATCAGACAAGCTGATATTGTCGTAAGTGCCTGCGGCGTCCCCCACTTCGTTCGCGGCGAGTGGCTCAAACCCGGCTGCGTCGTCATTGACGTGGGCATCAACTTCGTCGGCAATAACATGGTGGGTGACGTTTGCTTCGACGAAGCTCTCGGAATTGCGTCGGCAATCACTCCCGTGCCTGGAGGTAGCTTTACATCTCTCTCTAGTCTTGATTTGTGGTGTTGATGTGGCTCTCATGAAATGCTTCCAGGCGTCGGACCCATGACAATTGCCATGCTCATGCGCAACGTGTACACGTCGTTTACGCGGCGCGTCGCGGGTACAAGCGGGAATTCCACCAAGTAACATAAAGTCATCGTCTTATCTTCAAAAGATCTCCTTGTTGTCGTGGCAATTGGCTGCAAAACCGATTTTTGCAAATTCTGACGTCAAATTGACTTGATATACTTCGAAGTAAGCCAGGAAAAAAGGTTTCAACCAATAAAAAGCATGCGTCTACTTCAGCGAATCAAAGGCTTCCGGGTTTCCAACAGGAATGCAACAAATGCAGGATGGCAAGTGCATTTCAATGCACTCGAAGAAATTGGTTGTGCTGGACAAATTCGTACAGAAATCATAACACATCAACCAAGTCGCATGCAGGTTGCGATTTTCTCGCCATGGTTACTTGAGCCCATGAGCAAGTGTTCACTGAGATGTTAACTCTGTCGTCGGGTTGTTGTGTTGAAACCGTTCGAGTGAAACCGTGCCATGCGTAACTGATTTTTACCGAGGATACAACGCGCGAACAAACCAGCGCCGTCATGGAGCCGCCTTATGTTGGAGCATCATCGCTGCCGCGCGTGTATCGCCCAATCAAGTCGCCGGTCGACACTGCAGTACGTGCCACGACAGCAGACTCCCACTTTCGACCGAAGCACACTGACCGGACTGCTGCCCTACTCTCCTTTACGTAAGTGTGCATCTAAAAGCTCCAACTCGATTGATGCGCCACCTGGCAGGACAACCCGAGGTCGCAATTGTGGCGACACACAGCCGTCACTTCGAAGCCATCGGCATCCGGTCGCGCCATCACGCAAACCGCAGCCCAACACACCTCTCCAGCCCAGAGACGAAGTCGGCATCTTGTATCCGTTTTCCAACATCGCCGACGACGACGGGTCCATGCACCAGATCATGTGGTCAAAATGGCATGATCAGCACGCCGCCGACACTCTCGACGACAACTTTACCTCGTTTGCATTGTAGCACAGCTTACATGAGGGCAACTTGATGGACTTTCAAAAATGTAGATACGGCGAAATGAAGCTTCAGGAAGCCCAAACGATGAGCTCATGGCTGGAGCAGCCGAATCAATTTCTCACTGCCGTGGCATGTACATTGCTCGACAAGGTGCCAAATTACACGTCACCATGCCAGTATGAACGAAGCTGACAGTGCACGAGCAGTTTGCAGAACGATTGGGGACGTCGGGGGGACTCATGCGGCGGCTCCTCCACGCATTGATGGCGGCAGTGTACGTCCGACGACCGACAGGCGACGACGTTGCCTCCACGAAGGATGGCGAGTTCGACCGCAAGGTGCCCCACTTCATTGTACGCCGACGTTGCCAAGGCCAGCTCGACATGATGATCCTTTCGCTGGGACTAGGAAAGCAAGCGACTGCGACGAACGTGCCTGGAACTTCTCGACGAAAACACGCGGAAACATGCTGACTCGTCGATCCACCAAGTTGGTGTCGAAAAGATGCAGCGCGTGATCGAAGGCACGGCGAAGACGTGGAAGCGTAAAGTCCAGCGCCTGTTGTTCTACAATTGGACGTATTTGGTACAGCGGCGGCGACGCATTCGAACTGTACGCTTTGCACATGACTTCATAATCCTGCAGAGCTTCACCGGGTACTAGTTCATGGACCGCACGTTTCGGTACGAGGTCAAAGCCACTGTGAAGGAAACATTTCGCGCATGGCGTGTCGAGGCCCTGCGGCGGGCGTACTACGTAAGCTCATTAGCGTTAAGGTCCAAGGAGTAACAGGGGGCGTAGCGAGAGTCGGCAAACTACCAGGCCATGCTGTCCGTCACGGCCGAGTCGCTCGGGCGAAAGGTATCGAGCATGCGATCACCGCCAATTGACCTCACTCTTCGTCCATGCAGGATATCCAACTCAACGAAGCTGCGACTCGAACGACAGAGCTTCAAGCTCAGGTCGACCAGCTCGCTTCGATCAACAGCCAGCTCGTTATGCGAATCCAGGAGCTTGAAGCAACCAATAGGTCCATGCGGGCGGCACAGGGGGCGCCCGATGCAGAGTACTTCGTCCCGGCAAAAGCACAATTTGAACCGATGGACACCATCGTGGCGTCGTCAACGTCAGAAACAGAAGAAGACCACAAAGTGAATCGCCTGCTTTTGGAAAGCCTCTTTGCCATGGCCCGCATGGTCGAGTCGTCCGTGATCCAGAGCTCCAGCGACATCATGGACAGCTTGCGCCATCAAACGGACGGCCACGAGCTGCGCGACCTGTCTGAACTCATGTTTAAACAGACGCAGCTCTATGGCAAGCAGCAGCCCTCCATGGCTTCATCGTCGACCGTTCACGACCACCACTCGATTCAGAACCTCTTGACAAAACCCATCGACGTGGTGCTGCTTAACTGGATGCGGCTTCAGCTTGACCGGAGCACCGCAACGACGCGGCCGCAAGACAAAATTATCCGCAATTTCTCAGAAGACCTTGCCGATGGCCACCGCTTTGCGCTGTTGTTACATCACCTGTACCCAAAACTTTACGACACGGCGGTGCGTGCGATCGCTTCCTATAATGTTGGCTAAGAGACGGGTGCTGTAGCTCGTGGGGGAAATCGACGTCGACACCCGACTCCAACACATCGAGCGATTTAATCGCGAGTGCCCCATGGACACTTCAGCGGACGCGACGCTGCCTGCGGTCGTCACTGCCGAGTCCATTGCGAACCAGAAGAGCCACGAGAACTTTGTGTTCATCGCGATGCTATTTGGACTCCACCAGTATGTGCTTCCATCACGCGAGGATCATGTATGGACCAGTTCTCTGTAGAGCCCATTACGCTCCGGTCAACATCGATAAGGCGCGCAAAGCGTTCTTACACATCGTGACATGTTGGAAGAAGGTGTGCACCCAACAGCAGCCATCCATGTGCACACCATGTGTGTGGACGGAATCGGCGGCACCAACAACGATGCACTAGGTGCGGACTATCATGCTCGACGTCCGACGGGCGGCCGACGACACGCCCGACAAAGGCCTCGTCCTGAGTTTGGTCAAAGAGCTCAAGACATGCGAGAACTATCATAAAGAAATGCAATGCGAGATCACGTCGCAGGCGTGCACATCCAACGAAACCTCCACCGTCCTCATCAAGCTCACACACAAGATTCTGTGCTTTACATGGCGGGTACATCCACCTTGCACGGCCCCAGCGGCCATCACAATCGGCGTGATGGCTGTAGCTGCTTGCTGAGAAGCTCCAGGGGGTGCATGAAGACGTGGTGGACGAGAGGCGAGCCCACACGATGCAGAAATTCACAGTCGTTTCACCCGTTCTCGTGCGCGACATTATCTTGGGCAACCCCGACGGCCGTCGGACGTCGCTCAGCGAGACGGAAGTACAAACCCAACCAGTGTATTTCGACAGCTTTTGATGCAAAATCGGTTGCTCGAGTAGGTCTTGACCCGAGTCGCAGGCATTCAAAAGGTGCTACAGCAGTGGTTCAAGGAACTCTGTGCCATCTTTCGGCACTACAGGTGCATCATCGACACAGCTTGACAACGTCATGCAACGCACATGTAGCTGCGGCGCGCTGCGCGGTCGCGCGACGACCATGAGTTCTGGCGAGTGGGCGAAATTCATCAAGGTTCTATCCACCAAGTGTCGATCCATCGTGTGGTTTAGAGGCTCATGGTCGCGGCTTTGACAGGATTGCGCGATTGTGGACAAAAAGGTCACCCAGGCGATTGCCGAAGCCGTGTACTACCAATGCGTCAACTCGGACAAGTCCTGTCGCATCCGCAAGCTCGTCGCGAGGTGGCTGATGGACTGCGTTGTGTAGAACGATCGTGCAGACGACGACGGCGGCCAAGGAGATGTCGCCGTCCATGTTTGTGTCGGCGCTCGTCCTGCTCGCCGACAAAAAGTACCCCCAAGTCATGTTTGAGGACCGCATTGGCGAGCTCATTGAAAAGTGCGTGATTCCGCACGCATGTCGGTCACAGCCCGAGGTGTTTCGGATGCTCCTCCAGACGTCTGACGTATATCGACAAAGCATCACTCGCCGTCGACAATGTTCACCATCTTGCGTTGCCGTAGGTGCGTGGCGTGTACCAAAAGTTTAAGCAGCCCCTCCAGCGTACGTTCAAGTACTACTCGAGCGTCAAGGCCGACGAGGTGCTGGTATGCCTCTGCATCGATGCCTGCCTGTGTTTTCTCACGCGGTGGCGACGCCGCGCAGAAAAGCACCAAGCCGCGGTCGACAATTGGTCTGGTGGAGTTTGTCATGATGGTCAAGGATTGCAAGCTGATTGGGTCGTATGTGACGGAAAACACAGTCAAGCAGATCTTTGTGCTCGTGCAGCGACACAACGACGACGACGAGTGGGGGGGAGACATTACTGGGAACGAAGAGCTCCAAGTCAACTACGTCGAGTTTGAAGAGGTGACTCGGATTGTATTGCCGTCGACGGCGACGCGTGACCTTTCGACGATGTCGTAGGCGTTGGGTGCTCTGACCGAATATGTGATCGCGAATCCATACATCCCATACTTCAAGCGACTGGAGCAGTTCATAGGAGACATGATCGTGCCACGTGCGAGACAGAAGAAGCCCAAAGCGTAGACGCATTTCTTGAACTTCCTTCGTCGCGATGCACCCGTGGTGCACCCTGGTTCTCATCGTCATGGCGGGCAATCCTTGCATCACCCATGCTAAGTGCGACGTCCGAATCGAGCCAATCGTTGTCCGTGGGATGAGTTTCCACCAATGAAAGTGCCCTATTTTTCCAATGAAACGTATTTGAACCAATCATATTGGACTCCCATGTCGCACCTCTTGGAGCACGCACATGTCACGAGGTGGTTGACCACATTCTGCCATTTTGGACAAAGCAACAACCGATCATCATGGCAACCTCCTTGGAAAATGGACTCGTGCTGGGCCTCCTGGGCACAGGCAAGATCGGAAGCGCCGTCATGTCTGGGTACTGCACACCTGTTGCAGACAAATCGACATGGGTCCCCAAGCACATCTTTGTCAGTCCTCGTGGTACAGAAAAGGCGAAAGCGCTCCATGCCAGGTTTCCCAATCACGTCACGATCGCGTCATCGAACCAAGCGGTGATCGATCATTCCAACATCATCTTCATTAGTCTCCTTCCTGACGTTGCCCGCCAGGTCCGTGACTCCGTGCTGTCGACAACTTGATCTTCCATTGTATGCAGGAACTTCCTCTCCTGAATTTCCCGCAACACGTTACGATTGTGTCCATGATGGCAACGATTCCGTACCAAGAACTGCTGGACCTTCTCCGCTTGCCCCGCTCCCAAGTGGTATGCTTGCTTTGTGCATCCCTGTCAAATCATGCATGTCTCAGGTGCGCACGATTCCTCTCCCCAGCTCGTCGCGCCGCACGGGCCCAATTTTGGCCTATCCGCCGCATCCGCTCGTGCGTGAATTGTTGCAACAAATCGGCACTCCTGTCATGGTGAACGAAGAAAGTGAGGTGACGACCCTGGTACGCCCCGATCGAGAGACGAGGTCACGTTCACTAATCCTTGCTTCCGAAGACTGGGATGACGGCCATGATCAGTTTCTTCTATGCCACGTGTGGCACGTTGCAACAATGGTGTGTCCAAAACGGCGTCGGTATGTGCAGCCGCCTTGTTCGAGGCGCGATTGACTTCTTCGCGCATAGAGAACCAAGCGTCACGCGACTACGTCGCGTCGTTTTTCCAATCACTCGCTGATGCTGGTATGATTTCACATGAGCCGTTCCAAGACATGGCAGATGAAGCGGCGACGGCGGGCGGCCTGAATGAGCAAACGCATCGCGGCCTCGTGGCATCTGGCGCGTACGACTTGTTGCTAGACCAAGTCGACGCCATCTACACGCGGTTGACGAAGCGTGCGCCGGCCCCGCGTGGAGGCAACTAAGCTGCCTCATTTGTCGCGGATTTTGCGCTTCTCGCCGCCGCATGGCGACATGGCGCGACGACGCAAGTGGCACCCCCCTCTCAAAGCCGAGCTCACGATATATCCGAACGTTTACGCGTAGAGGGCCGCGTAATTATTTTAAATGTTTGATCTCCGTTACTTGGTTTTTGTATTCTTGTCGACCCACGGAATTAAAATGCGACCCCAAACAAAACCGCGGTGGCCATTTTCCAGGTCTGCCACCCTAGAGCAATAGCGAACGACGGCGGCGCCGCGGTGGCCATTATGAGCAACTTGAGCCCCGACGAAGCCGAGTATTTCGGTACATGACACCACGCTATCTCTCTGTTTGCATGACGTTAACAGTATACTTTGCAGACATGGTCGAGGCAGATGAACTCCAAGCGCTGCTGAACGAGCACTGGGGCATTATATTAGCGCGTGTCGGTGCGCATCCGTTTTGGCCGGCTAGGGTATGACCTCTGTGTGTGACACATGAGCTTGCTATATGACACTGACGCTTGTTGTGCAGGTATGTGAAATGGAGGAATGGATCGACTACCTTCCCCATCGGCAGCGGAAGGGACAACTCTGCGTGTACTTCTACGGGTCCCACAACTAGTATGTCCTATGTCTGCGACGGAAGCCAGCGTATGCAGTGTCGTCACCATGAACTGTAGCGGATGGATTCTCCGCAGCAATGTCCACGAGTTCATGGAAGAACACCCGTCGATCAAGGGCAAGAAAGGATCGAAAATATACCTTCAATACCTCGAGGGCGTCGAAGAGGCCAAGACCGCAATAGCCATGGCCAAAAAGGCACACGAAAGCATGCTCTTTTCCGAGCGCATGTAAGTGTCTACGCGCTGCTGTCGTCGTCACTTTTCGTCACCACTCATTCTTATTGTGCGGCGGCTGTAGAAAATTAAAAAAAATTGAAGTCGAAAACGATGTGCCGTGCGCCGTGTGCAAGAAAAAAGGATCGTATGAGCGGCGGATCGTGTGTGATGGCAAGGATTGCGAGCGTGAGTACCACATGACGTGCCTGAAGCCTCCCCTTGTCGAGGTACGGCATGACCGATGTGCATCCATAGAAGATCGCATCGTGGGAGTGTTTAGGTTCCTGCTGGGGACTGGTTCTGTCCGTTGTGCAACTTAAGCCGCCAACCGTCGTCGAAGCGAACGCCAACGAATGGGTCATCGAATGCGAAACGCCGACTCGCGTCGTCCATCCATGCCGCAGAAGTCGCTCCCTTGCCAAGCACCGACTCGTCCACTGCAACTCCACTATCGAGCCGTCGTGACCGGAAAACACCCGACACGTCTAAACGTCGAGAGTGCCGAGAAAAAGATCGGCAGACCCCGACGTCAGACTTGACGTCTGAGGAGCGCTGTTTTCTGTGCGGCCTTGGCGGCGAGCTCGTCGTGTGCGAGTTTTCGAAATGCACCAAAGTGTATCATCAACTGTGTTTGGGTGCGTTTCCATTTCCCACAGATGAAGAGACCGAGTGGATTTGTCCGCGGCACCGGTGTGTGCTATCTGGCCGCAAGGAAGACCCCACCTCGTCCACCAAGTCCCTGTGGCATTGTCTGCACTGCCCCGTTGCCATCGACGACTCCGTGCTGCCCTCGGTACAAATCGATCCATCGATACTATCTTATGGTTTTTCTAGAGCCCTGCTCTCAGTAAAATTAGCCGTCGCGATAAAACGATGGTGTGCGCGCATTGCAACTCTCCAAGTCCCATGGTTCGCCTCGCTAAAATTCTCGAACGCATTTGGTCTGTTATCGCAACCAATCGCCAAGGAACGCCGTTTTGTGGTCCTTTGCTCGTGGGAATTGACCGACCTCCGGACATGGACCCGCATGCTCTTCCTCTGGACTTGTTTCAAATCATTGCAGCGGTGCGAAGTCTGCGTTATTCTAGCGAAGTCGCGTTTGTGCAAGACGTTGAGACGGTACGGCGACAGCTTCGATTATCGGTTCACGGAACTTCTCTCACGAAGTGTGGTGCATCTCAGGTTGTTGCGACGTCCCTTGCAATTTTGAGAGACCGATCTGCACCACTGGTAGAGGCCGCGAAAACGATGAGTATGGTTGTGAATGAGCAACTGCAGTACCATCAAGCACAATTTCAAACCATTCAGACGCTCATGGAGAATTATTTACACGGTGTGTGCCGACGGGCGGCTCCATGTCCACCTCATCGTACATGCATAGCCGACAAAAAGAACGACGAGTTGTCGTCGTGGTCCATACCTTGGCGAAAAGAATGCATGCCATTTGGTGACAAGAGTTACGTTCACATTGAAGCTCGGTCCATCGAAGAGTGGACGAGTTACGTCTCCCATGCAACGTTGTATGCTAACTTGTCTCCGATGGCATCGCAACAACACGAAGATGCCGAAGAGCGGTATACAAGATACGGCACTGCATCCCCGCCTCGGATACCGCTGACTGACGAGTCCAAGACCACAGAAGCTGAAGCAGACCAACGAAGTTTGACCTTGACCGATGGAATCGACGTTTTGGTGGCCCTCTCTGACCTGGGCCAACATCACCGATTTCGAGCATCGACCATACCTTCAACGGCAGCAAGTGCCCCAGAACCATCCATATATCGTGAAGAGCTCGGTTTGACGCCGTCGATATGCGAAATGGACGCCATGTTTCAACAACAAGCCGCACTGCTACGAAAAGCACTGCATGCCCATGCAACGTTGGAGCATGCGTGGAACCTCAACAAGCAGCACATGCTTGGGATGCGGCAGGACCAAGTTATTAGTATTGGCGAGGGTCGCTTGGCTGCGGAGCTTCGTGTGGCCAACAATGTACGTCAACAAGTCATGTCGCTGGCTCGAACGACGAGTTCAACATTATTCTGTCCGTGCGGTAGAACTTGAAAGCCCGCCTGCGCAACAAAGATCAAGTGTTGCAGCAACTGACATCGGACCATTTCGATCTGAATGGGCAGGTGAAGCAACTTCAGACGGCATTGGATGAGAAAGAGGTGCATTGCTACCACAAAAGGATTCTCGAGAGGTTGATTTTCTTGCTTTAGCGCCGACTTCGTCTACTCGAAGGGCAGCTGGACCCGTCAAAGCGAAACAGTTTCACGAATGCAAAGGTTTCTCCTGGTTCTGGAGATGAGGGCGACGACGACAGTCGATCACCCTTAGAGAAGCGTGCGCGTGTGGACGACGACTCGCCCGCCATCAAGCGAGGAAGAGGCAGGCCGCCAAAACGACGACCGACTTATCAATGAACAATATTAACTTGTCCACGCCGTACAACGCTATTCATGCTTTGCATGCATGCAACGCTCTTCGTAAACTGAAATGCGAGAGGACGTTCCAAAGCGACCAGCTTCCTTCGTCCATCCATGGACGAAAGAAAACTGTGTTCGCGGGTTGTACCAAATCGAACGTCGCAACAGAACGCTCGCCACCCGCATGGGAAGGACCTGCCAAAAAGCGACTCGAAGATTGAGCGACAGATGATGCTTCATTGACCATACTGTCCTATCTACTTGTGTGCTAGTACTTAGAAGTACTAGTAAGTACTAAACTTGCCAAACATCTTGCGCCGGGGAATGGTCACGTCAATTATTAAAATATCTTACTAAGCGTTTCATAATGTCTACGTGGCCCAATTGGATAGGGCATCCGCCTACGAAGCGGGAGATTGCGGGTTCGAGTCCCGTCGTGGACTTTTGTTTTCCCTCAACACCGAATTGACCTTGCAACGCGGCCTTGATGTCGAGCGATATGGCCACGTTGCTTTGGACTTGATGGCGTTTATCGTTCAAGCATAGCAGGGCTGCCTTGTTTTGACTGCATGAAGTTTGGAAATGTCAGCTGCCTTGCCTGCCGTTTGTGTCTCATCACAATGTCGATCTGAATTCGAAGGTGATGCAGTTGTGTTTCAACGGCCTAACGTGAATACGCAACTTTGTTCATTGTCATGTTTCTTGCACCACGATGTTCATGAACGGAGCGAAATGCATATAGCTCATAATCGCCCCAGCCGCGCCAAACTACATGATCTACCAGGTCACGTTTGGATACACAGGCGCACTCTTGATGCTCGTGCTCAGATGGAAGCTGGAAGTACTGAGGCGACGTGGTTCAACGACGGACGGCTCAATAATCCAACACCGCATCTTGTTCTTGCTACTGCTTCAATCAAGACTCTCGACGTATGTGGCCTCGGTGGCACCTCTCCTCTTGCCGCACAAACCATTGTCAACAGTTTGGCGACGTCGTCCACTTTTCCGGCATGGTACGCTCGGCCTGATCCACTTGACTATCTCGTTGCATTCCAGCATCAACATGGTGTGATCTTGGTTGCATGTGATGGTAAGCCCATCTCGTGCCTTGTCATTGTGAACACTACGGTCGGGTGTATTATGATGGCGTACCGCACAGAAGGCGAGCCTTGTCATTCCCACACTCAACTGACTTCACCGACTGCCACTTTCAACCACCAGCTTGGTTTCGCTAAGCTTTTGATTGTTTTGGGGACAGAACTCCATCCGACCATACCTAGCTCTCGGTGTTATATCTTCATCATGGACGTGGTTTGTGGTGTCGCCACGTACATTGCGATTCGCATCTAAAGGCACCTCGTATGTCTTTCGCCATCAGATGTATCGTGGCGCGAGTGCCGGTGCTGCAAGCCGAATACAAATTTGTCTCAGCAGCCTGAACATCTACCCCACGTTGTGTTGTCGTGATGGTGTTTCCTATCGAAAGTGCGGTCGTCGGCAAGTTTGTCTTTTTCGGCTCGGTGTGTGTGTCATGCACGCATTCGACCGACCCTCGTCACACTTTGAATGAATTCTCGGTGGCGAGAAGCAAGGTCGTGCGGTACAACGCGATCTCGGCGGCCACAGATCATATCAAGCTGTGTATGACGGAAAGGTGTGGCAAGTCCACATACAAGCTCCCGTCTTGCCCTTGTGACGATTCACCCGATACCAACTACGCATCGTTGGTGGAGAGTGTGGAACTTTCTTAATGCGTTGACGACTGCTGCAGCTCGTCGCGGCCATTGCAATGATGCCGAGTGTGGAGAAACCAGTCGCGTTCGAGGCCAAATGGAGCTTGACACATGTGACAATGGATCACGGGAGGGTACGCTTTGCGAAATGCGTCCCGCGCTGCCATCATGGCTTCGAAACGTCGGCGGTTGACAATGTGCTTGGCTGCTTGAGCTCGCGCTTCAGCTACACGCAAGACAGTTGTCAGGGACGATTTCAGGGACAAGTGCAGTGCCTGTGGCTTTACCTCCAGTGATGCGCTTGACCATGCTCTGGCCGCGTAATTTGAGTCGCAGGAGGATCATTTGGGTCTTGGCTTTCCCAGCCGTGAGACCAGTCTTCCACCATGCTGCAAACTCGTCAAAGTCGATGGCACCACTTCCGTCTGTGTCCATTTCTACGAGCTCAAGATTGTCAATCGACTTACGTCGACGTCGTGTACTTGCCTTGAAATCCCGCGATGAGCTCTCGTTCCGATATCGGAATCCCCAGCTCAGAGAGCAGCAGACGGAGTTCGTCCAACTCGATGCTTCCTGTAAAGTGCCATGCCGCGTCATGTGTCTGCACTTACCCCAACGAACGTACCAGAACCATCCGTGTCGAACGCTTCAAAGCTGTGGCGAATCGCCATCGTTTCCAGGTCGTCCTTCTTCACGACAGAGCGCGCTGCAACATGCATCTGTTTCTTGGCAAGTTTCTCGTTCTCCTTCATGCGCCTTAGTTCACGCTTGAGGTCCACCTTCCCTTGTGCCGTCATCAAGAACGCCATGCATTCGGCCGTGGCCTTACAAATTCATCGATGAATGTTACCCCAATGTTGAGAATGATATCTTTACGGCTTTCGATGATGCCTTGATCCGATCCATCTCGGCCTCCCTCCGAGACGCTTCGGCTCGCCGACGCCAACGTCGCCACAGCCAAGCTCGTCCAAACCTTTGTATGCGCACGGCCAGGACATTGCGCCGTCTCTAGTCACCACGAAAGGTCAGGACTGTGATCCAGCCAGAGACCGCATGTACTTGATTCCACACGAACTGTTTGCCAACACGATGGATGGTGGTGGCGGCTCGGTGTACTCGACGTCTGTGCATGAGAACCTTGTTCGCCTGGGCTTGGCGCCATCGGCACTGAATCTGCCGCGCCGACGATTGCTTCACTTTCAAGTACGACCGCATCTGGCTTTGCAGCCTCCTCGCCACAATGCTTTGTACCGCACGCACTCGTCGGCGCTTGACCTAAGCCGGAATTGACAAATACGATGCGAAGCGTTGGGGAGGTCTCGACTCCAGACGCCCTCACCAGGCAGTGCACGCGGAACCTGAAGAAGTCTTGTAGCAACCGCGTCGCCACCACGAGTTGCCGCAGATGACTCTGCATACGCTGGCGGTCGCACGACTTTTTGTAGCATCGATAGATCTATTGTGACAAACATCACGGGCCGCGTTACCCTCGCAGAGCGGCGTGCTTGATATGAACTGACCATGCGTGCACAGCCATGCGCGTGGTTTGAATAGGGATAGAGCCCTTCAAGTCGCGGGCCGCGGCACTCCAACCCAACGAAGCGTTGCGAAGTATTGCCATGGTCGAGCTATCCCTTTGTTGAGCCAGTGCCTCGACGACAAACAGGCGATGCTTGACAACCCATACCTGCTCGACTCGATTTACAAACACAGTCGCATCTAAAGGTCGCGCCAAGATCGATCGCACTTCGTCGTGCCACAGATTGCCCGCCATCTTTTGCATCAAATGCGCTTCGAGTTTGCGGCGCATCTACCCCCGGACCAACGGCACACCATGGGTCAACCATGCTACGATGGACCGCGAGGTTCACCTCGATCGAGAACCTACTGCGCTGTTTCCATCCCATCGCCGGCTCGACCGCATCAGATTCAAGCGATGACGTCAATGGGGGAATTGCGACCAAAGGCTTGCTCACGGTCATTTGGGGCATGACTTCTGCCGGTGGCGCTTTCCTCAATCGTAGCACCCAAGTGACCTTTCGGTTGACTGACGCACGGGGAGGGCCTGTGCAGTCCTGCGCTAGCTCGTGAGCACCTTGGTCGCACCAGTTCTTGCTCTTGGTGACATCACAGCAGGGACTAGAAAGACTGGAAATGCTGCAAGAGGGCAGCGGCTCCGTGGACGAGTAGTGCTCGGGTGGTTGCTGAACATGGTACTTTTCGCTCGTGTGGCTAAACACCACCGCCCACGTCGCCTGGAGAGCTGCTTGGCGGTCGTCGTGGGTTGAGTTGCGCCATCGCAGGAACAAATCCGCCTCGACGAAGCACTTGGCGGCATCGTTCTGCCACTTCTGGACCAATTGCTTTGCCACGAGTGGCTCGAGTTTCTCGGTGTTGGGTTTCTTGCGTAAACTACAAGGTGATTTGCATCCCCTCCACCGTGCGTGGCTCAAGAAGTGTGTACCGCTTCCGTGGTTTGTACACAAGCAGCGCGTTGTTCATACCCGACGGAATGGCAGTTTTGCCGAGGGCAAGCGTTTCCTTTCTACATTGCGAGTGAGCTCTCAGGAACTGCTTGATGGCTTTCCAACGAGATGCGCCAAGCTGAAAGCGAAGCAGCACCTTGACGCATGCAGTCAAAAGGGACGTGGGGATTATGTTTAGCTGCCCAGACGTACGACTGATGAGGGTCTACCTTGCCGAGAAGCGAACAAGGAAGGCGATACCAAGTGCCACAACCGCTCCAAATGACAGCCATGCCCATGCACGATTGTTGCCACGAGTATTTGGTCGAGCGGACGGAGGTTGCGTGAAAACGAGGTACGTGATCCGCACGCAGCGCTCGTCTTGGACGACGTAGTAAGCGCCGTCCTCTTTTGCAGATGGAAGCAGCTTCATTCTGGATGGATCGCAAATGACTTCGCACACGACCAAGCACGTGGCTGCCTTTGTTAAGATTGCACTGATGGTCGCGTAAGCTTGACTCGAAGTAGTTTTGGCATCGGGTGCTGGGTCCCATGACTAACTAAACGATCTGTACCTTTTGGCCCACGCCGAAGCCGCCGGCGACGCGAAATTCGCTGCCACATGGATGCTTTCTGCAAAGTAGATGCCATCGCCAAATAGGTTGCCTAGACACAGAGTGCGTCAGCGATCTCGTCCAATGGGGCAGGCATGCACCCGAGCTCATGTGCCGCGTGCCGCTCATGACGTGGAGTCCGTTTTGAAGAATCGAGTGAAAGGATGCCATTCGACTGCCATGATAGCATACTACGCACGTTCCGTCATGTCTAAAGTGGCATCATTTGAGCCATTTACACCTTTGGTGCCAAATTTGGCAGCTTGACAGTCGAACCATGGATCTGCGCTTTGCACAACGCGTGCCGCAAAGCACACATGCGGGAGGTCTGCGATGCAGCGTGAGGCCGACGCTGTGTCATGGGGGGCATGAATGGAAGGAAGAGACTGGACCTGATGTTGGGGGCACGGCCATTGCGAGGTGGTCGAGCGGCATCTACATTCAAGGCGTGAAGTACTCTCAAGATGAGTGAAGGATGCTAGAAGCGTCGATAGCAACCTGTTCCAGAGACACGGGCAGTCGGCACCACAGCCAGTCGACCAAGTGTAAGGCTGGCAGCGGGAGCATCCCCACTTGTATTACAACCGTGAAGGAATCAACTCCAGTCTGAAGCGATTTGCAAGGAAGCATGTAATGAAAGGATATCAAGTTCAAGCGACGAGATGGCTGGGAGTGCAGCTATGGTTTCGATCTGTGGCAGCTCGTGAGTAAGCGATGTGGCTACAATATCGAGGTGGACTCTACCACGCGCGAACGATCTACGTCGACAACATTGGCGCGGAAGTACGACGGACTCGGCGACATTCCCTTGGGGCTGCAAACAGCTGCAGCCAAGAGACAAATTAGTACGTCACACGCTGCTGTGTCTTTCTTCAGTTGAGCTACGACCCGCGCCTCTGCGATCGCGCGGAGGGAGCTCTCGGATGTGTTGTCAGATTCGTCGCATTGTTTGGTGGCTTGATCGATAGCATTTAATAGTGCCATGGCCAAGAATGCGCTGGATTCTAGTGTTTTGGAAATGGATTCGGCAATTCTGGCACCAGACTACACAGAAAACGAGATGGCGGGCCATGATCACTCGAGCGACGCGAATCAAATCACTTACACGACTCGCTGTAGATGACGCATAGCATAATGGTGACCTGCCATCGTCTGATGGCCGTGCCAATGAGACACGATTGCCGCAAGTACCCTTCACACACCTGGTACATACACAGACAAATGCTCAAGCTGAGGTACGGCCAGACTCGGTTGATGCAAGTTGATTGTGACTGTCAACGTGGACAAGGATGTCGACCACGACGCCCGCTCGATGGCGTCGGGAACAGTCAAGTGGAGCACCGCATGCTCGAGAATGGTGCTGTTAAAATCACCGCGTCGACTGCGTCTGCAGTTTACCAGTCTCAAAAAGAACGCGACTTCCTCGTCCCGGCCATGCATCTTGCCTGCACTGTGTCTGGATTGAACCTTATCCGGAAAGCCATCCGGCAAGTCAACAAATTTGTATGGAAGAATAATTTGTCAAAATCCGATGAAATTTACATCAACTTTCGCGAAACGTCGGAAATGTCAAAGCCCTCGGGCTCAAGTCTTGGCCTGTGCCGCTTCCCCAAGTTGTGGATCATGCAGTGAAAAAATGCGCAATATTAATCGATCTCTGTTCCTAGGTATCACAGTGTCGTAGTGTAGACAGCTCTACTTCAAGCCTGCAAGGCCAGCCGACAGGAGTGCAGCCACATCGTCAGAGACTCCCCCAGCACGTGCAGGCTTTCCCGACGTAGCCTTATCTCCGTCCTTATGCTTGTAATCTAACTTGCCTTGTTGATGGCCCACTCGTCGCTCGGCAGTCTTGCTCTTGGCGGCAGCAAATGCTTCCTTGATGGTTTCTTCAGGAAAGGCTTCGCGTGGATGGCGCGCATCGTAGTGGATACGCATGTCGGCGAACGACAGAAACTCGTGTAAGCAGATATCTACAATGCAGGCGAGACATCAGCACACTGGTCCATCCACTACAACCCCATTGCGGTGGTGGCATGGTATGCTATCACTTACCGCACTTGACGCCGACCTTTTGACACTTGCGGTTTTCCAAACCCGACGCGCCGCCACCAGCAGCACCAGCACGCTCCTTAGCAGCTTTGATTTTCATGTTGATCTCCTTCGCTGTGTGCTTTTGCGTCTTCGCCTTACCGCCCATCTCGGTTCACTCGGGGTTGTTCAAATGGACAATTCGGTACCCAGATTGTGGCTGAACCATCGACCATTCGATGCAAGTGGCAGAGGCATATATGATCTCACCAATCAGAGTGCGTAAATGATTTTGTTATAGCCAATCAAAACTAGAATTCAGCAAAATGCCGCTCCAATTGGAGCAATTAGGGTTAGGAAATTAGTTTAAAATCGGCCTCTCAATTAAAAGTGAATGCCATGTTTTTTAAACTTGCTACGCCAAAGACGGTGGACGTTGTTGCCGGTTCACACGCCGCCCTCGTCCTCGTAGATGGGTATATCGCTTGGAAGGCAGCACGCTGGGTTTGACGGTGGACATAGCGCTTGGTCGATGATCTCGACAGCACTTCCCTCGAAGAACACAGGCTTCCCACCACGGTTGTCGTTGAAGAACATGAGCGTGTCTGAGCACGTTTCGCCGCTGCACGGGACGTCGCGGAATCCTGCGGGTGTATCGCTTCCGCATGGGTTGCTGCTGCAGTACCATGCCGAAGTGTATCGTCCTTGATCTCCGTAACAAACGTGTTGGCCTTCTTTGCACCCAGGAAACACGACTTTTGGTGCGATCTAAGCACAAAATGAAGTCGTCGTTCCGCTTGGAATCTCCGTACCGCTACCGAGGGTTTGCAATTGTCCTGCCGGTCTCCAACGTACACAAATCCACAGTCAGCAAAGTGGATGGGCGCTGCTTCTACCTAGCCAACGTGCTGTGGTCCAGTCGCATTGCGTTGAGGTACCCACCGCCAAATCCCGACAGATCTTAAAGGTCTGGCCGCTAAAAAACGCCACGTTGATGGGATTCGACAAATATGTACTCGAGGTGGGACGACACGCGGCACAAAAGATGGACTTGAGGTACTCGGCGGCCATGTTGTGGCCCTGCCTGCAATTCCGACCTATGCGTAGCGCATTGGAACCTTCCAATGCTCACTCAAGCAACGATGACATCGCACCGGCTTCCATGAGGGCAAAATACGTGGTCGAGATCTCTGTGTCGTGGATGGGCAGACAGCATCGCGCGTCTTGGTTTCTTGTGCAGAATTGCAGGGGACTGGTGGTGGGGACCTAGAAGTGAGAGCGGCGTGGTTGAGTTGTCGTCAATTGGGTGATACGGCAGTACATCCATCACGCGCTTGCTGATTGTAGCGTTGCACCACAACTCATCGTTAGCCTTGTCGGTCGTGACCGCTGCAGCTGCCGCAGCAAGGACGCAGAACACCACCCTCATCGTCGATTCAAGCCACCGTTTCCTGCCCGGTTTTATCGGTTACATCACGATTGAATTCGATTGGCCAGCCGACGATCTTCAAAGGAAGTCTCGGCTCGACCACCGTATAAAATGATAATCTTGTCACTCGATGTTAGATGGGACGGCATGGTATGCCGAGGAAGCACAGCACGCCCCAACCATTCCATAGCTACCCTTTGAACGGATGAGTGGAATGTTCTTGATGCGACTCTACTTTCAAATGGTATTACCGACGGCATGGGACCTCTCCCGGCAATCGACGATCATATCATCACCTGGTTACAACTCGTCCATGACTGTTCGTGGGTTTTGCATGCCCAAACAGTACGGCCACTCCTTTTCGTCGACGATTTCCACGGCGGTGTCTTCGTAAAATGGAGGCTTGGCCCCTCGGTTGTCGTTGAGAAACTTGAACACACCCGTGCAAGTTTCGTTCGAGCATGGTAGGTTTGCCAACCCGACCGGAACGTCCAAGCCACACGAATGTGCGCCGCAGTACCACCGCGTCTCATTCTGGCGGAAGCACACGTGTTCACCTTCGTTGCAGGACATGAAAAACGATCCAGGCGCAATCTACTCGCGCATCGTCACGCGCGACACATTGCAACATCGTACGGCTCGCTTTGGTGTACAAAACCCCACGCGATCGACGTAGGCGAAACCGCAGTGGTCAAACAGCGCGGGAGTTAACCGTCCCTACATGAAGCACCACGTGGTTTCTCTTTGCTGCGGAGACATTGTACAGCGAGTGAGCGACAGATCTTGAACGTTGAGGCAGACGTAAAGAATGCAGTGTTTTGAGGCGGCGACAAGAACATGGGCGCTAAAGGAGAGCACGGCGCACAAAATATTTGCTTGAGCGGCACGTGACCTGGGTTGGTCACATCGAGCATGCACGAAACCCCTACAGCACGCTTGTTACCACGGCAATTTGGTCGCATGCCCCCACCGGTGTCCAAGAGGGTTGTGTAAAATGTTATAATTTGGGCCTCTTGGACGGGCACGCAGCATCGCGGATATTGGTGCTCGATGCAAAATGACATGGGGCTCTTGTCCGAGATCTGGAACAGAGGTAGAGATCAAACACCTCTCCTCGCCGTCACCAACGTACATTGCCGACGGAGATTCCAGAGGCTTTGCAAATCATGTTGGTTGTGTCCACTGAACCTGCCGCAACCGTAGTACAAGCAAGAAGCACGACAATCACACCATCCCGCCCCATTCCAAAGATCGTGTGAATGCCAGTTACGTCTCGAGTGTTATTGCTCTATTCGGGGCATTTCTGTCGTCAAATCTCTATCCATGAATGGACGCACATGCAGCACACAGCCTTCAAACAGACAGGCCATGCATATTCCCACACTTCTTCTCGCGCGATATTCATGTACGTCAGAACCATGTCGACCGACATGGACAGACAGCACATTGCGTTGTGATAGACGACCAGATCATGTAGATGCAAAGTCACACTATTTGGAACCGGGTTCGTCTACTTCCGTATCCGGATGGTGTCTATTGACCGAACGCCATCTTGTCGTTGAATAAAAATATGTCGTATTCTATGAACAATAAAATAAATCCGCCGCGGTCCTCATTGGAGTGACTCGTTCGATGTCGGGAAAACGTCCACGAGCCTTGGACGACACGACCACCTCGGACACGTTGGAGTTCAAATGGCGCCGCATGGCCGTGGGGGAAGCAGAGATTCGCCTGATGAGTCGAAAACCGAACGCGGATCGCGTCGTAGTACACACCCCAGTTACGCTCCACGGTGGTCTCCATGTCGAAGTTGACCCACCACCAGGGATCGTGTTCCACTCGTTCGACGAGCTCACCGACGCGTTGGGGGCCTACTTTGAAGCAACTCAGCAGGAATTCTCAATTCGCAACTCGATCACCGTGGAGCACGCCAACGAGACGGCCGCTCGAAGCGTCCGGTTCCCAGAGAACGACGTCCGGTTCAAGTACTCGTCCATGACTTATGTGTGCAAGCACGGTCGCACGCAGAAGCGACGAAACAACCCAGACCTTATGAAGACGAAGAAGGTTAAATTTGCATATTCTGGGTGCCAGGCTTGTTTGTGGATCAATCTCGTGCTGCTCGGTCCCCCGGGCGCCCGGCGGTGGGTGTACCATGTCCACAAGATGGTAAACGTCCACAACCACGAACTGAGCGTCGAGAATTCCGTGGCATCGCTGCGGCCCTTCCGTGCCTACCTCGATTTGATCTACGACATGAAGCACGCGGGGGCGTCTCCCCAAGATATGCTCACCATGCTCGCGGCCCGTGAACCAAGTATGTACAAGATCTCCATGGCGATTGCTTCTTACTTGTGACTGTAGCCAAGAAGATCACGATTCAAACCGTACGTAATATTCTGCGCAACTATGCGGTGGAACTGGCCGCCCCGACCCCGCCACCCCGCTTGCGACCGCATCACGTCCCCCGCTTGATGCATTCGTCGTTGGCATCCGCGCACACAACGCCCGCCACCGCCGCCTTTCATCAACTCTTCTCGTCGCTTGTCAAAGCTTCTATTCAACAGACACATGTGCCAGGGGTTCCTCCGTCCTCGCGCTTCTACTACCTCAACCTGTGCGCAGTCCAGTCGGTGCTCCACCGGTCGTGGCAGATTGTTCACGATCAAGACCACGAGGCAATCACCACAGCCCCTTCTAGCCTCCCGCCCGAGTCGGCGGAGAAAACTTTCCACTCGAGCATTCTTACCGCCGTGGCCGCGGATGGAATGTCTTCGATGGCGCCGTTTTGTGTGTTTCCAAGGCAAGCGACGGCCAATGGATGGTTGCATCACGTTGCGCCCAACGTTGTGCTCACAGATCATGGCTTGGTCACCCCCGACGCCATGGAGTGCGCTCTTTTGTTCTTCCAAGCGAATTTGCCGCCAAAACTGCCACGTCCAGTTGTGTTTGTGGTCGATCACGCGTCGACATCTCCAGCTCTTGTTCAGCTCTGCACTCGGTACGCATTTCCAACTGCCCGAGCAATGGATTGCTGTTAATGCTACTGACTTGGATCGCATTATAGCCACAAGATCGTGCTCGTGTCGTGGAAGGACTTGTACGTAGGCGATAAGGACATTGTCCTCCCGCTTCGACGGAGTTTGTTGGCCCCGTTTGAGTCTCAGCTGTGCCGCCAACTCGCCGTCGTTTTGCCCCACCTCGCCACGACTGCCGCCATTGTCGCTGACTTGCCGGCCATCGTTGCACATGTGTTCCAAACGAGTATGGCGAACGTCGGTGCGGCAACCATCGTCGATGCCTTCCGACAGAGTGGGCTACACCCGCCAAACTTGCCTCTCTTGGCAGGACCACCGCAGTCGCACCACCACTCGCTTTCGAAGGTGTCCGTGGTGGTGCAAGAGCATCGGACGGCCACCATATCGGTGCAATCGAATTCGATGCCTCGATTTGCCGTGGAACGGCGAATGTAGCAATGAATCCCACCATGGTGATGTGTGTTTTTGCTGGGAAATCCCATGTCTCGATGGACTTTTCTCAAGTGTATGCGCGCGTCAAAGAGCAACGAGTACAAAGTGCGAATTGAACGCTACAACGACCCCGCAGTGGCTGCTTGTTGATGCACAAATTTCTCCCAGACGTACGCGGCTTCCGCTTCCTTCCCGAGCAACGCTTGCGCCTACACCGCAACTGAGGCAGTTTTTCCACGTGAATTAGGACATACGTGCCGCTGGGCTTGGACCCGGCGGGCTTCTTCGGCTAGAGCGCATTCGGCGCGCAGATCCTGGACTTCTTTTTCGAGGCGAAAACACCTTGCGGCGTCCTGGGCAGCTGCAGCTTTTGCTTCGTCCACCTACAACTAGCGTCAGCGACGCAGAGCGGATGGACGCAGTGCTGCACCAAGCGCTTGCACGTCATGCGTTCGATGTGGACTCGATCGTCGGCCGTGGCGGCTTCCTCGAGAGCTTTCTTAAATCGGTCGACTTGGTCCTGCCACTGTTTTTTCTCTGCAGGAATGCTCGCTCGTGAGAAGTCGCCTCAACCGAATGGACCGTGTGCGAACCAACCTCGTTGAAAGTCCATGACGGCCATCTTCAAGCGGGAGATTCGCGTGTCCCGCCGGGCAATTCGATTCGACATGTCGACTTGGACACGACTGAGCATGCCCTTGGTTTCTTCCAGCTGATCCACTACCAACTGCATGTCCTTTCGATGCTCGGCATCAACCTTTGTACCCCGGTGAAAGCACTCACGACCTGTCATCCATTCAACGATCGACCGGTCATCGCTTACCGCAGCAAATGTTGCGTGGGTTTGTTCGAGCACTGCACATTGGCCATGCAGAACTTTTACTTTTGCATCGAGGTCCGCGGCGCGCTTCTCGGCCTTCTTGCGACCTGAGCGTTCCCCGTCGAGAGATCGCTGAAGCACGACCAGCTCCCCCTTTTGTGTGTCGGCAGCAGCGGCGGCAGCACGCACCTGCCTGCGCAGGTCAGTCAAGTCGGCTTCCAACTGCTTTAGCTCGGTCTCCTTCGTCAGTATCGCACGCGTTTGTGACTCAACGGTTGTTTCAAGCGCTTGGATGCGATCCATGCATTCGGTTAAAGCTGTCGTCCGCGCTTGCAGGTCGACTGTCGATGCTTTCAGCTGCGCCGACAAGTTGACGATTGCCGCTGTATCCTTGGTGGCTGATGCTACTTTCCTTGACAACTATGCGGTGTCAACGCGGGGTATGGATATGGCACATGTCTATATACCTCCATCCGCAACAACTTCATTTCGTTGGACATGTCTGCAATTAGCGCTTCATACTCCTCGTGCATAGCCTGGGCTGCCTGCATTTGCATCACTGCTGATTGAGCTTCGTCACTTCTTCGCCTGTCGTGCACCGGTGCTGAATGTTTCAGAGAGCGGTGCGACCCGGTCGTCTTGCAGAATTCGAAAGGTCGATCGATGCCCTCGTCGTGTAGGCCGAGGTCCTTCAAGCTCGACACTGCTTTCGTGAGAGCCTCTTCGATCTCCTTGTTCTGCCGCTACATGATCCAGATCACTTGGGGGCACCAGGTGAACCGTCCATGTACCTTTAGCGCCGAAAGGTCATGAATCGACAGCGGTGCCGACATGGAAAGATCAACCACATGGAACCGCCGGATAAATTATTCGGATACCAATATGCATGCGCCATCAAAATTTCTGTTGAATGCCGCGCGAGATCATCACGCTCCAAGTGGGCCAATGTGGGAACCAAATCGGGTCCGAGTTCTGGAAGCAGCTTTGTGTGGAGCACGGCATCTCACCCGACGGCATCGTGCAGGACTACGCGACTCAAGGTAACGACCGGAAGGACGTGTTCTTTTACCAAGCCGACGACGAGCACTACATCCCGCGCGCTCTCCTAATGGACTTGGAACCGCGCGTGATCAACTCTATCATGAACTCGAGCTACCGGAATCTATACAACCCAGAAAATACATTCATCGCTAAAGACGGCGGGGGTGCCGGGAACAACTGGGCCTCGGGGTACAACCAAGGCGAACAGCACCATGACCTGCTGATGGAAATGATCGATCGTGAAGCCGACGGCAGCGACAGCTTGGAGGGGTTTGTACTATGTCACTCGATTGCCGGCGGGACTGGATCTGGCATGGGGTCGTATCTTCTCGAGAACCTGAACGACCACTTTCCCAAGAAACTCATTCAAACATACTCGGTGTTTCCGAACCAAGACGATTTTCAAAGCGACGTCGTTGTGCAGCCGTACAATTCCCTCTTGACCCTCAAGCGCCTTGTTCTAAACAGCGATTGCGTCGTCGTCCTGGACAACACTGCGCTCAACCGCATCGCCGTGGATCGCCTGCGCATCGACAACCCCACAGTGTCCCAGGTATGACGTCAAGACTGCCCCTTCTGCTTCATGCAAACTCCCTGCTTCGTCTTAGCTCAACTCGCTTGTCTCAACCGTCATGGCGGCTTCGACGACAACCCTGCGGTACCCAGGATATATGAACAACGACTTGATCGGGCTCGTGGCGTCGTTGATCCCGACCCCGCGCTGCCATTTCCTCATGACCGGGTACACCCCGTTGACGATCGATGCGCAGGTACTTCCCTTCGGTATATCTTTCTGTCTCCGACACCATGTTTAGGTCTCTGCCGTGCGTAAAACTACCGTCCTTGACGTCATGCGTCGGCTCCTTCAGGTTTGCCATGACTTTCGATGAATCGAGTGAATTAACATCGCGCTTGCAGCCCAAAAACATTATGGTGTCCACGTCGACCAAGACAGGGTGCTACGTGTCGATCCTCAACATCATCCAGGGGGACGTGGACCCGACGCAAGTGCACAAGTCCCTGCAGCGCATTCGCGAGCGGAAGCTGGTAAAGTTCATTCCATGGGGACCGGCCAGCATTCAAGTTGCACTGTCGCGCAAGTCGCCGTACGTGGAAAGCGCGCACAAAGTGAACGGTCTCATGTTGGCCAACCACACGAGCATCGGAAACGTACGATATGCCTCGCGATCCTCCTTCCTCGTTCTGCGATGACGACTCACGTAGCTCTTTCACCGGTCCGTCGTGCACTACGACCGCCTGCGCAAACACAACGCGTTTATCGACCAGTACCGGAAGCAACCGATGTTTGCCGACGGCTTGGAAGAGTTTGACAATGCCAGGGAGGTCGTGACGAGCATGATCGAGGAGTACAAGGCCAGCGAGCGCGCTGACTACGCTACATGGGGCCAAACGGCGCCATAGTTTCCACGAATTTATGCTTTTTGCGAAATCCCATCAAGTAATTGGGAAAATTATGTTGCAACGAATTGGTTCATATCGTCTCTTATTGGTCAAAACGATCGATTTCATTTACATCCTATTGGTGGATGTGCTGGTTGTCCACCCGAGATGAACAACGCCGATGGACAAGCCGTACGATCGCAACTTACTCGACGCCGTCAATGCTGTCGTGTACGCCAAGATGCCGATTCGCCAGGCGACCAAGAAGTTCTCGGTGGTGCGCAGCACGTTGCAGCGCCGGGTTCATGCACTGATGCAGAAGGAATCCGCTGTCAGTGCCACGAGTGTTGACATGGCCGCCGAGCTTGTGAGCGCAGCGCCGTCTGTCGGCGTGATCGACTTGTCCCAACCCTTGCTTTTGTCTCCACCGGAACTGCCACGCTCCATTCCACATGTGTCTTCATTGCCACCACCTGTGAGCCCCATTGAAATCTCCAAAGGGCCTCACAAAGTCATCAACTGCAAAGTTCGTGCCATGCAACAGTCTGTCTCCAGCGCCATCGACGAGCTCAGCAACGATCTCATCCGTCAAGGAAAGCCAGTGTATAAGCTTGGACTCGGTCAAAGCCCGTTTCCAATTCCTGAGTGCATTGTGGACGAGCTCAAGTACGTCGTCTCGAGCGCCTCACCAATTCCACAGGGCACTGTATAGAGCGCACGCCCACCAGCGCGACTACCTTCCTGTCGCGGGCCTGCCTGAGTTGCGCCAAGACATTGCGAAGTGGGCCACGGCGAAACTTGGAATGACGTACACGCAAGATGATGTGCTGGTCGGCCCTGGCACAAAGGAACTCCTGTTTGTCTTGCAAACAGTGTACTACGGCGACCTCCTCCTTCCGAACCCGAGCTGCATGAGTTACGCTCCTCAAGCGAACATCGCTGGACGGTACTGTCCTCTATCATTTGCTTGAAATGCAATGCGACGGCCTTCCGTCGATGTGAGATCAAGTAGCGCTTCCCCGCGTTGTGATGTCTTGTGGTTTGGCACTCCTCTCGTGAAGATGGAATTGCGCAGAAAGTGCAGCACAGTATATCCTGTGGATCTTAACCGATCCGTTGCTTAGGAACATGATCTGGCTGCCAACGTACGCCGAGGATAGATGGGTCCTTCAACCCGCCGTACTCGAAGCCCACTGTGCAGTCGATCCTTGTAATGCTCCCATTTCACATATTTGTTCGTTCGCTGACCACGTGGCGGGGGCTAGATGCCCCGCGAATCCTCATCCTCAACTCCCCATCCAACCCCACGGGGTGCTCGTACTCGGCTGACGACGTATAGCCATGTATATATTTTTCCTCCCTTCTCACTGCTGGGCGGTTCTGGTATAGCTGAAAGCAATCGCGGGGTTGGCCAAAAAGTACCGGTTGCTGGTCGTATCGGACGAGCTGTACTCGGACCTGACACACGAAGCGCATGTCTCGATCTCGACGTTCTACCCGGAAGGCACGATTGTGTCTGGGGGGTTGAGCAAATGGTGCGGCGCTGGCGGGTGGCGCGTCGGATTTTGGCTCTTTTCCTCGGGCCTGGACTGGCTTCGCAATGCCATGCTCGTGATGGCATCGGAAACATACACGTCGGTCGCGTCGCCACTGCAGTATGCGGCGCGCCGCGCGTTCGTGCCAGGGTACGTCCATATCCAACAACTGCCCAACCAACTGCTGGCTGAACGAGGCGGCACACAGGTGCCCCGAGTTGGCCGCGTACAAGAAAAAGTGCTGCCGAACGCTCCAGTTGGTCGGCCAGTGGTGCACCTTTCAGGTCTGTACGATGCATTGGTTTTATCTTGTGAACGGTCGGTTTGCAGCTCCACAAACTCAACGTCCAAGTTCACCAGCCGCAAGGCGGGTTTTACCTCTTTCCGTGCTTTCGATCGTATCGACAACTCCTGGCCACACGTGGCATCACGACTGACGTCGAGCTGTGCGAGCAGCTCCTGCACGACACAGGTCCGTCCTCGTCGAGCAAGAGTCGTCCAGACTGAATTTTGGAAGGGGTGGCCATCTTGCCGGGGTCCTTCTTTGGCCGGCAGCCGCACGAGCTGTTTGTCCGAATTGCGTTTGTCGACTTCAAAGGCGACATCGCTATGTACGTGATAGACAGCGAGGTGCGTCGCGAGTCGCTCTCGATCTTTGTGTGACCGTCTGCGGATGACGCTAGAGCGGCGACGTGGGGCTACACAATCGCGAAGGCTTTGTGCATTCCGTGTGTCCGAATATATGGACTGCCATGAAGTTGCTGGCCAAGTGGCTTCAGATCGAGTGACAGAGCGCGCGCGCGCATTGCGCCTTTGGCTCTCCGTGGCGCGCCACCTCTCTCCCACGCTTCCTACGACGGGATGCCCTTGTCGATAGCAAGATGTGCAGTGTCAAGCTGCTGTGCTGGGGCGTCGCTGTCCTGGCGTATGCTGTAGGGATGAGCGGATAACTTCAGTTGGGCCGCGCACTTGGTCGGGTCCCAGCACCTACAATCGTGTGTCGAATGCAATGGACGGCAGAACATTCTATATTCGACGCCATACACGCGGCCATGTGTGACCGAGACGTCACGTGGCCCATGCAGTGTAACAACACTGCAGGATCCCCCTCCCTGTGCCAAACACAGACGATTCCAGGACTCCATGTCGGACGCTCCTGATGGTGAAAGGCATGTCCCAAGCACACGCGACGACCGCACCGGCCTGAAGATCGGATGGACGTCAAGTCGACGGCGTCTGTGCAATGGCATGGTCGCATAGGCCAACGCGGCGGCGGCCGCGTCCGTGTTGGAAAGTGGGATTCGTCAGGTCCACCGCCGTCGAGTTCACCAAATTCCACTAATCGCAAGGTCGCCCCCTCGTCTGCGACCTCACGCGATGCTAGAGAACGTTTGAACGAGGCCGAGCGCGGCGTTGACAACTCGGCGTTTGAATAGCCAAGAGCTCGCGGCTTTGGCACCCGAGACGACGTCGTTGCTCTCGAGCGATTTTGTCTCGAAGCAACTGGTCGTGGGGGCATGTATTGATTTAAGGGCAGTTTCAGAGGCGTCGGGCCCGGCGTTCTTGAAAAGAGGTGCACTTTCCATCGATGGTGTCTCTTCCGCGTGCAGCTCCCGCGCAGCCGGGACCGGACCAAACGCGGGCTTTGTGCGTGACTCACGCCGACGACGCTTGCCGTCCCATAGTCAAACCAAGCGCTGTGAGGAACGCTGGTTAGACGGGCCAGGGACGGAGGTCAAACGGCGCGGCCGTCGTCTGTCGTGTGTGCCGTCTACGCGGTCGCTGTGATCGACGGCTTGACGCGTGAGTTTGGCGACGTGCATCTCTCCAGGATATCCTACAGGCAGCGACGCGCAGTCACAGGAAGGCGGTCGCAGCTGTTCATGCACCCTAGACCCAGCGGGACAGACGCAACTGCATCAAATTTCATTTTTCCTCGACGGCGCCGTCGACATCGCGCGACGCAATTCCCACCCCACCCGAAAATCATGGCTCGTCCTCCCACCAATACCCACGTCTTTGACTGCATCGTGGTGGGCGCGGGCCCGAACGGCCTCGCCCTCGCGGCGGAGCTCCGGTATCAAGGCGTGACGAACTTCATCGTGCTCGATCGGCTCGCGACGCCCAACATCCAGACGAAAGCCACCATTGTGTGGCCTGGGTGCCTCGACCAGCTAGCCAAGTACAGCGGAGTCATGGACACGATCCATAGCCGATGCGAATTCGTCCACCAAATCGCGTACTCGACCAAGGACGGGTACTTTTCCAAGGTCCCGCTCGGCAAGTACTTTGCGTCGCGGTACAAGCACGGCGTGTTCGTGGAGCAGTGGCACACGGAAAAAGCGCTCACGATGCACCTCGTCGAGCACAATGTTGAGATCCGCCGCCAGACGGAGCTCGAATCGTACGAGTACATCGCCCCCGACGTGATCCAAGCCACGCTGGTGGTCAACCGAGGCCAGGTAGACGAATTGACGCACGTGGTGTGTACCAAATATCTCGTGGGATGCGACGGCGGTCGCTCGGTTGTCCGCAAGCTCATGGGCGTGCCATTCGATGGCGAGACGCTTCCGCATTCCATGATGAATGCCCACATACGGACAAAGGAGCCGTTGCCCGTCCAGCGCGACGAGCTGCGCCAGATCTGCTTTGAAGCTGGGTCGAGCTTCATCACGCCGCTGCCGGACAACTCGTACTTTGTCGCGATCGACGTGTCCCAGCAACAGGACAAGTATTGCTCGCCGACGGAAAAAACCAAGCACGGCGACCGTGTCCAGCTCGACTTTACGATGGAACAGCTCGAAGACATTTGTTCGGAGCGCATCATGCCCATGCAGATCGAGTCGGTGGTGTGGCAGTCGCATTTTCGTGTGCCTCACCGCCTCGCGCGCAGTTTTGTCGACACTTCGTCGCACGTGTTCATCGCGGGAGATGCCGCGCACTGCCACACGCCGCTCATGGGCCTCGGTCTCACGATCGGGGTGCAGGAAGCGGTCAACCTCGGGTGGAAACTCGCGTTTGTCTTGTCTGGCCGCGCGCAGCCTTCCCTCCTTGCCACATATGCCTCCGAGCGCCGTGAAGCAGCGGCAGCGACGCTTCAAGTCCTCAAGAAGACATCCACGGCGTTCCACGTGTACGGCCCTTTGAAGCTTCTGCTGCGCCGCAGCTCGCTCTGGTACAACTCGCAAACGGTGGCATTTCAAAAGGGCATGTCGGCCAGCATGGACGGGTCGTACATCCACTACGCGACAAGTCCGCTGAGTGTCAACCACATCATCGCCCCCACGCCTTCGTCGTGGAGTGGTCTGCAAGGGTGCCAAGAGCTCCTCGGGCTCCACGGTCACGCGTTGCCAAAAGTCCAAGCCGGCGATCTCGCGCCGCACTTGGCCCGCGCCGACCCGGTCTTTTACCGCGGCACGGGCTTCAAGCTGCTCTTGTTTACCGGCATCGGCCATGGCGAGTTCACCCATGGCCAGCTCCAAACGATCGGAGACAATCTCATGCATGACACGTGTGGAGTTGTGTCGTCGGCGATGGTGGTGACGGCAGTCGAAGACCACCAAGCGTTTGATGTGCAAGCCCCAGCCATGTTTCTCGTCCGTCCCGACGGGTTCGTCGGCCTTCGCACCAACGTCGTGGACGATGCGAGAATTGTCATGACGTATTTGGCGACGCGGGTGGGCATCCGAGGCATCAAAGCGTCCGACATGACGTTGGATGCCACCCCAACGCGGACAGGATCCAAGTCGTGGTCGCTTTTGTGGGCCGCCCCGGTCGTCATGGGCATGGTTACGGTCGGCGCGGCCATCCTGAAGCTCACTGTTCCTGCCATGTCCCGCGTGCATGCGTAGTCCTGCCAACTCTCAATGTATTTATCTGTGGACCAGTGTTTCGAGCGCACTTGAAAAGCCACAGGACGACGCCTCGATCGACGAGAGGCGCTTTCCGATACAGTCTTCCCCAGACAACCACATCCACCTCACTTCTACTCGAGTCCATCCTCGCGACTAGTGGGCGTAATATCCACTCGGTCGACGAAGTGATGGTATGCACCAAACGCCCGCCGTTGACGTCTCCAGTCGTAGATCCATCCCCGTTTGAAGGTATCACGTTTGAAAGCTGGGACCGGCATTCCACCAAAGGACAGCTCCCGGCGCCGCCAGCACCAAGCTGCTCCATGCCCTGCGTGAATCGCAGTCTCTACGCAGTTGCTGTGGCCCATGGGTCGAACGTGTCTCGCTCTCCACGAGAGTCGCGCGCGAGATTTCGTGGCATCGTCCACAACCGACACAAGACTGTTGGCCACCGACAATCGAACGACACTCGATTATTCGGGCATAAATATCACGACATCGAGTGGCCTCTTTGGAGGCGGGCGCCGTTCGTCGGGTGCTTACGCGCTGGAAGGGGATGGGAACCATTTGCGGTGGTGGTGGGGATGGTAAAGGAGAATCCTTGAAAATCGTCGACATCGTCGTCGTCATCGCCGCCGACCGTGTCGTTGTCGGTGAGGGTGCCGACGCTGGTTCGCGTAAACTCATTGTCAAAATTTTGGAGGTCCGTCGGCGAGTTTACGCGAGGTTTGAATGGAGGTTTGATCTGTTTAGCGACGAGGGCGGTCCAGTTGAGGCCGGCGAAGAACGGGTGCTGCCGGAGACTTTCTTCTGTCAGCCGCGTCGTCGGGTCCCGTTCGAGGAGCCCACGGAGAAGCGATTTGGTCGCAGAAGACAATCCGAATCGCGCGGGAAACGTGAGCGGTTGATGCAGTATGTTGTCGCACATGCGCTGGACGTCCTTGTCGAAGAATGGCGGCCATCCCGTGAGCATCTCAAACAAGAGAGTGCCAAGGCTCCACCAGTCGACGGCAAATCCGTAAGTTGCTTTCTTCTTGCGAGCGATCAGCATCTCCGGCGCCAGGTACTCGGGTGTCCCGCAGAACGTGCGGGCGCCGTCCAGAGCGCTCACCCGGCTCTTCGCCAGTCCAAAGTCCGTGATGCGCACGTGGCCGTCCGCATCGAGCAAGACGTTTTCTAGACGCCAACCCGGGTCAGAAAGCTGTTTGTGGCATCCTCTTCGATCCAACCCATCGATTGCACTCGCCAGGCCTGGTTCACACAAGAGCTGCACGGGTGTTGGTCCGTCGAGTCAAGTCCCAACGCCATCCACTTCCCTCCACCTTCTGTCGCGAGCGGAGCGACAGACGGTCGGAGCAGTCCCATCGCCGCAGCATGCATTTACACCCGACATGTTGCACAGCAAATTCAGCATATCTCAACTCCAACACACAGCACTCAACGATCGAGGACGACAGGAGAGATGGGTCGGTCGAGATGCGTACCTGGCTTGAGGTCCCTGTACACGATGCCCTTGGAGTGCAAATGGCCGAGAGCCGCGACGAGCTCGGCCGCGTAGAAGCGAACCATGGTCTCGCTGAACGCACGAAACTTCTTGAGGTGGAAGAAAATTTCACCTCCAATGCAAAAGTCGGACACCATGAAGAGCCGCTCGCGGGTCTGGAATGCGACACGGAGGGTCACCACGAATGGATGGTCGAGAACGGTCATCACGTCGCGCTCGGTCATGGTGTGGTCGACTTGGTGGCGCTGGATCAGCTCGCGCTTCTTGAGTACCTTCATGGCGTACAATGCAGACGGCGACTGCTTTCGACAGACCAAGTACACTTTGCCAAACGATCCTTTCCCGAGCACCTTGAGGACTTCAAAGTCGTCCATGGACCATTTGTGCTCGACATCGAACGGCTCCCGTGACGACGCGAACAGGTCCGTCTCAACGGGAGGACTGTGCGACGTCGCGGTCATGCGGTCTTCCAAGTCTACGTTCAGTGAGTCCAGGAGAACAATGCGGACACACAAACCATCGTTCATGGATTCGTCGGGGTTGGCAGATCGAGGAGACAAAAACGTTTCGAGCTCTGGTGGACGAGGGCGCAATGCCAAGAGAGCTTGCATGTAGCTACGCCATGGCGTCAGGGATGGAGTCAAGCACGAGACATTACGTTTCAAAGCCAAGACGGCGCTGCTCAATCACGCGAAGCGACAAGGACGAAAAGAGACGCTTGGGAGGAAATGGCAGACTCCGCACGGCGGCAAACCGCGGGCACAGCGCCTTGTGCAGCGCGCGGAATTCACTGTACCGTTTGCAAAGGTTCCATGTCGAGTCGGTGGATTCGACGGACATCATGAAGACTGTGTACCGTTGCTGGTGACGAAGCTCCAGTCGGGAGTCCCACGACGGGATGCGCACTCCTGTCACAGTCATCGCGGCCACCTCTCGATCGCGAACTTCGCCCAGTGTGTACCCCGATGTGAAACGTTTTGTATCCGGCTCGTGGGAACGTCCGGATACCGCGACGCTGGGCGTCAGTGGCCAGCAGCAGCGACGCACGCCTTTCACCATGGAGCCACATCCGTCTTGCCACTGCGCGCCGCTGGTACGACGTGCTCATGATCACCCTTCCCTGCTGCGACTGCATCCGATATCTCGGGGGAAAGTGTGTTTCGAACGTTAGGGCCATCTTATTACGGCCACATAAACGCGAAATTGTCGCCGCACTCGATCGACGGGACTCGACCCCCGCCATCTTCCGCTTCGTCGGTGGCGAATGCCGTATACATTTGTGCCACGTAGACCGGATGATCCATTGCATATGAATTCAGACCACTTGGTTGTCCCGTGGTGGACATCTGTGACGGGAAAATGTCGACGACGAGCGGCGTGGGCCAGTGACGATTCGCAAGTGATAACCGAGCTCAATCACACAACGTCGCTCCAACGCAGCACTGTTGTCCGGGCTCGCATTGCGAGCAAGTCGACGCATGTAGGTTGTTGAAGCTCGTAATCGGCGCCATGCGATGGCTACACACCTTTGTGGCTCGCATCGTCGAGGAACCATATTCCACAACGTTCTGCAATGATCTTGTTGGAAGCCTTTGGTGCATGGCGGCGCACAAGGAGTTCATGACGGCTTCCATCGAGGTACCGGTAGTCGGTCGCCATCACGCTGCGGAACGTCCGAGGACGTCCCGGCTGGAAAAAACCGCCAACGTTATCCGGATGAACCACATCGGTTTCGGCGAATTTTTTGGATTTTATCGAATGGGCCGAGTTTGCGAAGATCACGCACATGGTCAACACGCATGTGCACGTGGTGATCCCGGCGATGCCGCTGTCAAAGCAGGACAACCAGCAGCAACGGTCGCCAGCGTCGTCTGTCAAGGCTGTTGCAGCTGCTGGAGGCAACGACCATGCCTCGAACAATGATTCGGCCGAGAACAACCCCATCGATCCCGCCATCCACGGCGCGACATACACAATCGTGCAAGCCCGACATGTCAAGCTCCACGATAACAACAACACCATCGATGATGACCCCATTGGCGACTTGTCCATGGCGTCAGCTGTGCCGGAAGTTCAACTTCCTGGCGAAGTTGTCCGAACCATCTTGAGCTACCTTGACGGACCAAGTCTCGTCGCGTGCTCGGGTGTATCAACAACATGGCGCATTCAAACGCACGAACGACAGCTCTGGAAGCAAGCGTGTTTGACCAAGTGGCCAAGTTTGCAGCACCAGCTCTTGCCTCAGCTTCCGGGAGCCCCCGACTACGACGTACGTAGTTCGATCGCGATGGCGTCGCGTCAGGTCAAACTGTAGATCATTCGGCTGTACGGTGGAAGCTGGAAGTCGTGCTACATGCAGGGCAACAAGGTGCGCAGCCCGTCCTTCGCCTCGCGTCATGTTCTGTGTTAGAAATGCCAAACGGCGGAATGCATGGTTCACGTGCCTCAGTTTGAAGCTCCGGGGAACCACGGTCCCGACCGCATCGTGTCGGACACATTTGCCATCGACGAGCATTCGTTTTGCTTGTGGATCTTTCCTCGCGGCAACCCGAACGAAGTCGAATACTACGACCGGTCGTTGTCGGTTTACCTCGTACGTGTTGCCGTGGCGACGCGTGGGTGGCTCACGCATTGCGTTGGCGGCTAGGTAGTCACCGATTTGGACAAGCGGCCACTAGATTGGCTGACGTGCGCCGTTTTCACATTGAGTGTCGTGCATCCGACAGACCCGTCCAAGACGTATGCCGTGGATTTCTGTCCATCCATTGACTCACGTTGGTTGCAGCATCACGTGGCATTCGTCGCTCCACGACAACAAGTTCAACCACGCGCTGTACAACTGGGGCGTCCACTCACTCGGCGACCTCTCGTCGTTCAAGCCGAATGGGTTTGTCTTCCCGGACGGGTCTTTGCGCGTGTCGACTCGCGTCCGCCTCATGTCGATCTCAGTGCGAGTCCATGTCGAAGCAGGGTTTATGGCCCACGAAGGGCTCGGTCTTGGCCCGCACGTATGCACGATCGACCTGCCATTCTGCAGCACGCTGGCGGACTTGTTGGCAGCGCTCGCGTCACGATTTCCAGCCACGGACGTGAGTCAATGTCGTCTGTGGAGCTTTAGCCACAGTGCTCTGACCGGGTAAACCCTTCCTTGAGCGCAGCTGTGACTGGCTTACCTGTGTGTGCGCCGTTAGCCAGGCGAAACGACCACGCAAATGCCTCTCGGCTCTAACCACGTCGACCCCTCTCTTTGGCAACTTGCTCTGCGACGGCACCGACATCGATGCGTACTCGTGCTGTGATCTATTTCTCGACCCAGCGAGTCTCGACTCGTTTGTGTTCGTCAAGGTACTCGATCTGCACACGGGCGTCCTGCGCTACGTCGGCCGCCTGTGTTTGTCGGCGTTTCCGACGGCGCAAGCGATCGTGGCCTACTTGGCAGTGGCGTTTCCGCATGTGGCGCACTGGATGTCGGTGCGGGAGGAATGCGCTCCGCAGCTCGCGAGCATGTTGTCCCCCGTCGATCGATTGCTGCCGTCGGACGTTGTGATCTTTGCCGAATGCACTCCAACTCGCGCAGGCGCGTCCCCCACCTCGGACACCAACACGGACCGATGGATGATGCGAGTTCGCCGCTGCTTGGACCAGTACCTCGACCGGCAGTAAGTCCATCGAACACGATTCCGCGCGTTCAGAAGTAACTCGTTGAGAATGTAGCTACAAACACGCGAAAGCCCTGATCGCCAACCGTCTCCACCACATAACCCTCCACGACATCGAATGCATCGGGGACTTGCTCGACCTGCCACGGTTCCGCATCCACAGCGTTTTTGCCAAGTGCCACGAAAACGCGCGGCGCACGCTGCAGTACATCATGGAAGGGCGGCACCTCGGATTCATTTGCGACTCTTGCGGGGAGACTGACTTTGTCGGCGCTCGGTACAACTGCACCGTGTGCAGCGACTACGACCTGTGCCACCCCTGCTTTGGTCGGTTCGCCATCGTATGGCACGTTTGATTGACCGTTGTGTGTGCTGATAGAGCGATCGCACCAAGTGCGCCATCGATATGCCAACGTCGATGGCAAGTGGAGGCGCGTGCCCAACTTCGACGACCACAACCCGGCCACGCACCCCATGCACTGCATCTACCCCGTGTTTAGTTGACGGCAGAGCCCCACGAAGGGAGGCAAGTCAGGCTGTACTCTACCATAAGGAACTCCATGCAGGTCCCATGACCGTGCCGTCTTCGTCCGTACATTGGCGCGGCTCCATGCGCTCTAGGAGACACGTCAAACTGTCACGAGCTAGCCTTACCGTCATGTGGCATCGAACACACCTCGAGCGCCTTTGAATGGGGCGCTCCACTGCATGCAATAAAGGACCACACCGACGAGCATGGTGGATCCAAGGGCGTCGTCGGCCTGTTCGAGTGAATTCGCACCGGAGGCCTTGAAACGGTTGGTGGCAGTTTCACATTTCTTCGAGCGCCCGCCATGGATACATCGGACGACCTGCTGCGGAGCGACATGAGCTCTGGTCACGCCAAGTAGACAGAGCGCCGTGCACATCGTGTCGTGCGCTGACCCGGTGGATGTTTGTAGCGAGGACGTCAAAGCGTCGGCGGTCCAGCGGATGCGGAAGCTCCTCCTCATGCCGGGCTACTCGCGGACTGCCGACGACTATGACTTTATGGACCGTTTTGGTACACGTGCCGTGCGGTCGGCCGGCGGTCATGTCCGTGTGTTGGTGTAGTGCTGTACATTCAGTTCTTTGTCGACCTCGACCAGGCCGATCGGCAGCAGTATCTCCAGGTCAGTCGCGGTGTGGTGCTTCAAAAGAACCAGATCCTGTTCAACATTGGCGACCCCGCCGACTCGTTCTACTGCGTCATCTCTGGGTACGTTGAAATGTGCATGCTTGGTCGCCGCCCACCGCGACGACGGCAGGTCGCTTAACGTCGTTATTGATCTGACGCGCGTCCACCTCAACACCAAGCGTGAAATGAACGATATCGTCAACCGCGCCAAGATTTACTCGTGTTTGCACAACCCGGGCGTCGGCGTCGGTACGTCGATCCATCGATCAAGTGGTTGTCTGCGACCGACGCGTTGCCGCCGCACGCAGACGAGTCCCCGTACTGCACGTCGTATGTGGTTCGCAACCTCAAGCGGTTCGACGCGTTCGGCGACGTCGGCATGCTCACCGTGGACGGCGTGCGCACCGCGACTGTCGTCGCTGTTGAAGACACGTTCCTCTTACGGATCGAGCGCGAAGCGTTCTTGGACTGCCGCGTCTTCCATCAGAGCAAAGAGATCCAGTACGGTTGCAAACGTCGACGGCAGACCCGTCACGCCTCCGTGTTCATAGCCACAAGCTCGCGTTTCTCGGCCGCGTCCGCGTGCTGCAGCACTGGGATCGCGAGAGCAAGCTCAAGTTGTGTGGACGGATGGAGCGCGTGCTCAAGTCGTACAACGACATCGTGATCGCGCAAGACGACGAGGCGCGTACGTGTGTGCGCCGTGACACAAACTTGAATGGCTGGCGTGGATCGAATGCGTAGAGTCGTTTTACCTGGTTCAGCTCGGCGAATGCCGCCTGGTCAAGCGGTACAAAACCAGCACGTTTGTGGAGCTGGGCACGGTGTCCAGGTGCGCCGAGGTTCCATGCGTTGGGGATTTGACGGGGGCATGCAGTGGGCAGTATGTCGGGTCGTTTGAGGTCTTGCATGGGCTCACGCACGCTGCGTTTTCCGTGCTCGTGTCGTCCCCGAGCGCCGTGCTGTATCGTATCGACAAGCTCGGTATAAAATGCCTTCATCAAGGCTGGACCAGCGCGATGGTTTCGATAGACTTTCGCCATCATATTCTTCGCGACCCCGTTGCCGAGGAGCTCTTGGCCGTCGACGCCGACGAGCTGTACGCCCGCATGCACCCCGAATCGGTCCACCGGGACCTGACGATCAATGCGCAATGGACCAAGTGCCGGGAGTCCATCGTGGCGGAAGCGACCCCCCGCCGACAAAGGAGGGCGCCGTACTTGCAGCCATTCGACCACAGCCTGCACCCGTCGCCGTTGCACGGAGCCCCGATGATCTCTGTGCATGCACCCCAGCACCACCCATCGGACAACGTCAAGTTGAAGCTCCCCATGTCGCCTTCGGCCAAACCGTCCCATGCGCGCCGTCCGTCGATGGGCCAACTGAAAACACCCACGTCACCGAGACATATCAAGCCATGGCACGCCATGTCGGCGGACGCGGCCTCGCAAAAGCTGTATGTTGGCCAGCAGCACTGGTTGGAGGTAAGCAGACAAGGTGCTTTCGCCAGTGGAAACCATCAGGTCTAACGATGAAAGGGACGATGGCTAGTGGGCTTCGAACCGAGCAGCCAATGTGTCCCTCGCCACGGAACGAGCTAGTGGTGTGCGGTCGGCACACACATCCCCCCATCCCCCCCCAGCGACGAACCCATCCGATCGCGACAAGGCACATGATGGAAATGCTCCCCATCGGACAGCTCAGATCCTCGCCGGGAAAAAGAGCCGACCAGTCCAGCGCATTCCCGAAGCCGTCTCGACCGTGCTAGCGGCCATCGCACACACTGCGCCACCGTCCCAGTCGGAATTCTAACGCAGATCTTGCAAACGTTGTTGCAGCGTTAAATATGGAGGCAGCGGCGAACGCCGCCGCTCCCCATTATCGAGACGCGACGGGGCATCGAGGATTGCAGTCGATAGTTTGAGCGTCTTCCCGGATCGTGTACACCCACGGATCCAATGACGCGGTGCGTTTGGCGGACAGGGTTTGGAAGGGGGACGTTGCCGGGAACTGGGTGTGTCGCTGAACTTGGAGGAACGTCTTGAGGAGCGGCAGGATCGGGCACGTTGACGGGTCGCACAGGGCGACACTGTCGGCGAGGAGCGTGACGGTAACGGCGAGGAATTGGCTGAGGGCTGCGCGGCGCTCCATCGCGACTTGATCGATCGTGCGGTCGTTAGAGAAGAACATGCGAAGTTTCTTCCTCGGAAACGACATGGACGACAATGGCAGGTAGACGCTGCGGCAAGCACAGTCAGCGGCCGCTGTGAGCTCAAGCAACGAGTTGCGCAGACGGCGAAACTCCGAGTACCTCTTGTACACAACCCACCGGCGATCGCCGTATTGGACCATGATGCCGTACGAAAGATGCGACTCCTTGGAGATGCTCACAATGGATGTGGACAGGAGAGGAGCCAAGTCAGGGGACGCGCTGGAGGGACTGCAGTTGCGTGCGCGCATGACGCAGTAAGATGTCGAGTGACGCCCCGTAGCGGCATGACGCGCCCACGACGCCAAAGACACAGTTACAGTCGTCCATCGTCCTCGACTCTACTGAACGATTCCGGCTCCACCAGGCACATGCACATCCAAGCAGACACTGGATATCTCGCGTCCTTGTTTCCGTGACTTCAGATATGTTGACGTTATACTCTTTAACGCTCGTTTTGCCGCCAAAAAAGCTATTTTTTTGGAGTTTAACGCTGGCTGAAACGATTCTTTCGAGTCACGGAACTTGCCCAACATGTGCGACAAAGATGCTAGTGTAACATGCCCACTGCGATTTCACGCGAGTAGTGCTCACATGCACGTACGCCATGAGGTAGATACACGTCGGGATTGAGGTCTCCATGGCGAGGTCGAGCTTGTCGTCGCGTCCAGGCTTGAGAAGAATGCACTGTTGTGAACGGATATGCTCGTCAAGGCCACCGCCAGGTTCCCACGAATGTCAAGTACGGTGCAGTTCGCAGCGGTGGTTTGAATGGCCGCGCCGCCTCATGTGGACCACTTGTTTTCGTGCGAAGACATTGGCAGCAGCACATGGCGTTCTATCACGCAGAGAGAGCTCTGGCGCGAGACTGGGGCTCTATCCATCACTTCCATCGATGACCGCATCGACAACGCGCAGCCCGAACGACAAAGACACGGCGGCACGCACGCTCTATTGCCTTAGAAAGAAGTAGTAAAACATATACACGTCAACCGCGATGAGAACGATGATAATGCCCCAGAGGAGCATCTTTTGTCGGAGGTGGCGATTTCGCAACTCCTTCAGGTACGTGTTCGCTTGCATCGTCGCAGACTTGGTGTCGTTCACCATGTCCTTCATGTCTGTAAACTGTCCACGCTGCGCCTCGAGTTCCACGAGGACGTGCTTGGCCGTCCGGTCGGCTTCTGCGATCGTTTGCTTGGTCTGTTCGATTTTGTCGGACGTGGCAAGGAGGCGCTGGGCCGTCTAGAGACACACCACATGAGTCGTCATGACAGTCTGGCGTGGCGCGCGCTGCGTGGACGTACAGGGTCGTATGTGCTGCCGTAGTTGCTCATGCGGGAGCCGGTCAAGCTTGACGTGGCCGTCGGTGCGGGCGAGGGCTTAATGTTCAACCGCATACTTGACGTGGGTGATGGAAGAATAGTTGGCAAAACCGATGGAATGCATGAACCAATCGAAACACGTCTTAGTTGAATTAAATGACGATTTTAGCCAATCACATCGTTTCAACTCGTGGCACATTTTCCCACCAATCGCCGCGGTGGTGTCACTTCAACAAGGACCGGATCGAATCGACCAAAGTCCGCGCGACGCCGCGGGTGTCGGGGTCGATATGGGGGCTGTCGCGGGCGTCCTGAAGAATCCTGCAGCATCCAAATCAGGAGCATAGCCCTCAGGAATCATCCAGGCGCATACCGTGCCATACTCTGCAAACATCCTGAGGTCAATATATGCGGCAATGCTTTCGCCTCGGTTAGGATCACGACAATGGTTTGCGCTGCTTCCATGGACACCTACCCATGGCCATGCACCCCAAAGTCACATGGGCATTGGGAATGGTCGTACCTGTGTATTCTGGGCACTTGCCACCAATTTGGCCGTTGCGTCGACGACGTCGGTGCCAACGGACTGCGCAAAGTTGTCATTGAAGGCATGGTATTTCGCGAGCGTCATGAGGAGCTGCAGTTGGAAGATCATACATATTTGCGCATCGAGTTCAACGAACGAAGGGAATTATGCACCTTGAGGGAAGCCGACTGCAAGACCGCAGGGGATGTATCCTTTGCTAGGCACGCGTGTATGTACGGCAGCGATTGCGACGCCAGTGTGCACAGAGCAGTCTTGTCCAGGCGAGGAATCGCGCTGGAAAAGGTCCTTGACGTTAGTACCGCATGCAAAACATGGATTTTGTACTTGAGCAAGACATTACAGCAACACAGACGAGCGGGCAGCTCGAGCAGCCGCTGCGTCTCGAGCATGTTCATCCTTCCATCAAATGTACCCTCGAGCCAACTCTGCACCCACTGCTCAAACGTCTACAGCTGAAAACGTCAACACAAGCCGTGTCATCGCCACCTACGGTGTGGGACGCATGGATGGACGAATGGTGCATGAGCACAGTCATGCACTCAATGCAGCCGCGCTGAACTCTCTCGACCAGGTCAGAGGACTGTGAGGCTGATGGGACTCGAGCTGCCCATGCCATGAGCACGAGTTCCAAGACTGGGCCAAGCCACATCGGTTGTGATTCTGGGTGGGCCGCAACGAAGACGGTGGCGCAGTACACCATGAGCGACGTCGTTTTCGCCGACGACGCTAGTGGAGGCAGCGTGTTCCATGCTGACAGGGCGGCCCAAGCTCCGGGTGGCGCGACGGGCGCGAGCAGCGGCTGCAAGCGCTGGAGAATCAGCGGGAATGCTGTGCGTGGCGGGAGTTTCGCTACGATGTCTGCCGCCAATTTCCGAATGTCTTCGCTCTCGCCGTCCTGACATTCCGAATTAGAATCGCGCCGCCCTTCTCGACGACAGGGGCACCTCCGACACAAGTGCGACCACCATTTGGACGAGCGAACTCGCCTAATTGCAGAGATGCTGAGTCGACAGCATGGACACTCGAGCAACGATTACCACGTTACTCAGACATGACACAGGAGCCAGACGCAGCGCCAAGAGGGGGCGCAACTTCACCAACAGCAACGGACTGGATGACTCGTACACTACACCAACGTGTGGCTGCACGACCGTCAACGACATGGACTTCGCGAGAAAAGTGGACGGCGTACCTGCAGACGAGATTGTAGCACAGGCAGCTGACGGGAAAACGTTGCTGGATACAATCGGAGGAACTCCCGCAAGACGACCATCGAGATCGAGTCGTGGGAGCTTTGAAAGAAGGTGGCGATGAGGTCGTCCGAGATGGCATCGACACTGGACGGTGGAACGCGCTCCAGCCACCTGCACGATCTCCAATCAGTCGCGCATGCGACGAATGCTGGGGGGGTACCGAGTCAAGGCTTGCAAAGCGGCTTGACGCTTCGCAGGCGCACTCGACTGCGACGATCCTTGGACTGGTTGGATGTCGGCAGGGGACTGTATCGGAAGCGTTGCGAACGCCGGGAAGCCGAGGTTGAGAATTGCCGCCACGATGGTCCCGACAGCAACTCGACTGGCGGTCCGACTGGCGACGAGGTAGGCCAAGATAGTGTCGGCGTGACTGGATGGGAGCCGAGCCATGTAGTGCGCCACGATCGTCGACATGTCCAAGGCCGAAAGGAGTTTGGCAGCCTACAGGCAGCCTCAGCATACACACCGGCATGTCGACTGGGCGTGTACTTGACGTCGAATGCCGATACATGGATGATGATCGCAGAGCATCAGTACCGGCATGGTGAGCTGCTTGGCTGTGGCGATGACAGATGAAGGCGACGAGCGCACAACCCCCGTGCCGAGAAGTGCCGACCACACAAGACTCTGAGGTGGCGACTCGCTCATCATGTACTGGACCAACGTGAGGGCGTTTCTCAGCACTGACTTGGACGTGTCGGTGGCTTCGAGGACCATCTTGAGCTGCATTGTGGAGAAAGAATCTGCATGAGCTTGTTTGACGACACCGTCCATTCACCGGCACGAAACCATCCCACGTGCCGCGTCAAGAATGCACGCACCGTCGCAACGGGAACGTTGGTGACGCGAACGATGTCGGCAATGGCTGGAGTGGCCGGAATAAGTGCTGCGCCATCGACAAGGGCTCGCTCCACTGGGTAAACCCACTCCCACGGCGGAGAGAGCAGGCCGTGTGTGATCCAGTGCTGGCAAATGACGAATTCAACGATCGTCGTGGCAAGGAAGGTCGCTTCACTGGATGCACTTGCCCGCATGGCATCCACCGCAACCTGGTCAAAGGTCATGATAAGCACGCCAAACGATTTTTGGCAGGAGTAACACGTACGTTGACTAGTTGGCAGTGCATTGCGTGGCTCAGCTTTGACGGCCGCACGCGACCCAGCGCACAGACCACGTTTCGCAGTGCCGGCTCGGTCGGGTGCAGCCTAGTTCGTAGCCGTTGTATGCTTGTGCAACCCATCATGACGCTGCTTACCGCAGCTGACTGATCATGCGTGAGAGCAGACGAGTTGAGTGGGGAAATGCCGACTGGAACACTGGAATCGAGTGATGGATGTGGTCGACCCACTCTGTCGACGTGCATGTGGCTGTGCGAAACGAGACCAGGGCTACCACGAACAACGTGCGATGGCGGACGCCCGTGTACCATTCCACAAGTTCGTCGAGGAGTTGAGCGATCAGCTCCTGCACAATTGTCAGCATGCGTCAACTCCAGGATATGCATGCCTTGAGCGGTCCAACCACTGACGACGCGCTTCCTTCCTCGTCGTTTCTGCCAATGCTTAATGCAGCTACGTGAATGATGGCCAAGGAGGCGTCGGCGGCAGCAAGGCTGAGCTTCGTCGGGCCGCGCCGCCCGTGTTCTACATCCACGTCACTCCTCATGTCCGGACCAGGAGCACATTCGTACCTCCACCCGTGGCCGTGAAGGATTTGGCACAATCAACAGTGTGCGATAGTAGCTGAAACCATAGAGTCGCGTGGGGCGTGGTTGTCGTTGTTGCCGTTGAAAGGCTCGCAGTACGAACGAGGTGGAGGGCCACGTCGCGAACGCTCACGAGGTTGCGCAGTGTGCTGGCTTTATCTTGGGGTGCAGTACACGTTAAGAAGAAGAAGCCAAGGACGCGGTGGGGATGACAGTGATAGAGAAACAACAGCAGCACTTGACTTCGACTTGCCGTTCTGGAAAGCTCGGCAGGATGCAGCGGCACGTCGTGAATCATAGGTTCCAGTGCTTGCAGCAAGTTCCTACGATCCATTCAACTTCGCGTACGGTCGTAGATTGTTGTACATGGCAAGCTTGTCCGATGTTTGCAGCATGGTCCGGAGATGCATCTACGATTGGCAACATTGCAGTCTCCGACTCGGTCGAGCACATCGACGAGTGCGCGCTCCAACTCACCAGAATTCGTGTCAGCTGGACAAAAGTCGTGTGCTGAGCAAGCGTAAAAGACCGCCGCGTCTGATGGGAATATCAATGTTGATGAAACACGCAGAAACGACGCTACCTCTTCCAGGGGTGGTTGTCCTTCCTTCCGTTGGACATCGGCGATTGCATCGTGGACCTATAAACTCACTCAGACACTGCTCCCACATGGTCACACCACCAACGCAATATCTGTGTCCACAAGCAGTCGCGTCATGGATGGAAGCGTGAACAGCGACGACTGCGCTTTTGCGGCGGCGTCGGCGACCAGGTCCACCATGATGATTCAATTGTCGCTGTTTTCTGACTTATCCGGATGTTTCTGCCGATGGCAATGTGTTCCATCGATCTGACCGGGGATGCACATGGGAAGAGCTGCAACAAGAATCCACAAGCTCCTTTGGGGAGATGGCGTGCCATGGGGTACCCAAGGCGTCTAGAAGCTCTAGAATGCGGTTCGATCTACGCATCGAGCGCAAGTTGGGGCAAGGATACGATTGCCAGACATGTGCAAGTAAGTGGCCAAGGTAAGCCGAGGTCAGACTCGATGGGTAGCTCCCACCTCCAACAAGCGACGAGGGCCACGAACACCACACGACGAGTTTCAACATCGTTTGTTTTCCTTTACAATTCGTCCAATCCTTCCAAATCGTCAAACTCCAGCAACACTCGTGTGACGACCAACGCCATGTCATAAAAGGACGATGCTGCTGCTCGCAGCATGCGGATCTCGTTCGCCCAGAAATGCCTGTATACAAGCAATAGATCAGTACCGACTCGATATAGGACGAGTTCGCCGTACGCAATCAGTTTCTTGTCTTGCACTCGGAGTTCCTTGGTGATTTTGTCGGGAGAGATCTCCTCGTCGACGTTCAGGGTCGCCAACGCATGTGCAGCCGCGTCAGTTGAGCCAAAGGTCAGTACGATCTCACTACATCACACTGACACATCACACTGTCTCATTCACTGCCATGCCCCGAAAACTTTGCTCGTACCAGTCGTATGGGTGGTCCTTGCTCATGATGTCCGTGCCGAGATCGATTGAAATGCCCGATATCCGGATGATGGGATTTATCCGGAGACCCATCATCGACGACAGAGCTTGAGGAAATGCTCTCATGGCAGGGCCATCGTTCCAGTCGTCGAGATATGTCAGTCTCTACGTGTTCGTTCATGCAAGCGTCACGAACGTCAGTTGGCTCAGACATCCATCTCTCCTTCATCTCTTCGGTGGTTTTGATGAGCGACTGACCGAGTTTGCTTCGTCCATTCCATCAAGGCCCCCACGGTGCTGTGTTGAGAATGGCACACTTCCGGATAATTCTGGCGCCAACAAGAGTATCCGGATGCTCCTTGTCATACTATTTCGCGCGAGTGTATCATTCTCAAAGATGGCCCGCACCAAGCAGACGACGCCTAAGAACGTGAATGACGGCAAGACCCCGCGCAAGAACATGCTGGCGTCCAAGAAGACCCTTCCTGGAAAAAAGGGTGACCATCCTGTGAATCTCGTGAAGAAGCCGTTTCGGTATCGTCCAGGCACGGTCGCGTTGCGCGAGATTCGGCGGTACCAAAAGTCGACCGACCTGTTGATTCGCAAGCTGCCGTTCCAGCGGTTGGTGCGCGAAATCGCGCAAAACGTGCGCTTGGACCTGCGTTTCCAAGGGTCTGCGTTGGTCGCGCTGCAAGAATCCGCCGAAGCGTACTTGGTATCGCTCTTTGAAGACTCATACCTGTGCACAATGCATGCGAAACGCGTGACGCTGCTGCCACGCGACATGCATCTAGCGCGGCGGTTGCGTAAGGAGCGAGTGTAGGCATCCCGTACAGCATCGACATAAAACTTAACTTATCCTCCCTCGATCATATTTCATCGCCCTTTCGAGGTATGAATCGTCCAGACGACGACGCGTTCACATGGAAACTCGACGATGGTGTCGTCGTCATGTCCACAATAGCCGCCCGACAGGATGTGCGATGAATGCGTCTTGAATCTCATCGTGGGAGAAGGTCAGCTCCCACTGGCCTTTCTTTTCCCGAACGATATCACATCGCTCGAGCTCAAAGCACACGGCTTGGATCTCGGCAAAGGAAGGAATGCGCGCAAGGCCGGCTGTCTTGGTCAAGTTGATCACGCGAGTGGCCACGCCTTCGAGGTCCCCGCCACGTTTCCCGCAGTGCTTTTCTGCACGTCCAAGAGAGTTGGTCGCGTCCACCACATGAGTCCACATACCTGGGGGCTGTAGTTTCACTTCTCGCAAGAGCGCCACGAGGAAGATGCACTCAAACGTGCTGCACTGCCGCAGCCGCATGACGAGCGGCGATTCCGACATGGCGGCCTGGGCAGCTTCGATGTCGGTCGACAGCACCTTGGACGGAGTTTGCGTCTCGACGACTCGGCGCAGGGTCCGCTCCACGGCAGCCTTACACACCATCAGCGCCTTTCGGATGTCACCGCTCTGGTGCGCCAGCGCCTTGGCGTAGATTTCGATCGAGCCGGCCTCAAACACGTGCAGCGTCGCCAGCCGCTGGTGAAGTATGCGCTCGATCTGGTCGTGCGTGTACGACCGAAATGCAATGCGGTTCACGCCAAAGCGGCTGCGAAGCTTCGGTGCCAGTCGCTCGGGCAGGTCCCTGCCAGACAGCGTCACAAGCACACACCAGTTGGGACAAGTAGATGCGCCAGAGACTCATGGAAATGTAGCCGCACAGAAGTATGCGGTGCCCGGGACTCATGGCAGGCCATTCACACACTCAAAATGCCAACAAGGCAGCTGCAGCACGAGGGAGGCAGAGCAGTATAGGCGTACATGATGTTGGCGATGCCGACGACGACGAGCTTGGACGATGGAAGGGCCTGCCACTCGAGAAAGTTGTACAGGACCGTGTTTTTTCCTAACACGGTGAAAGCAGTGACGTTGCCGACTCGGCCACCATCTCGCTCACGGACGGCGTGAGCAGCTGCATCAGGGTGTACCTGCCAGCATAAAGTCCATTTCGTCCAAGACGAGAACGAGCGCGGGTCGAGGCGTGTTGTCTTTGAAGAAGGCGTCAAGGCAGTCGCGGGCGCGCTTCGAGTTGAGCGTTTTGGCCTAAGCATCCCATCATCGAGATCAAGCGTCCACAGCACACGCACGGCCGCGACGTACGTGGAAGTGAAACGACTCCAGTGTCTTCCAGATCATGCTGTACGCCTGGTCTGGCTTGGGCATGTGAAGCCCGTTTATTTCGATCCACGTGAACGCAGGAATCGCCTGTATCGCGCGCTCTCGCTCGAGAGTGCGCAAAATTTCCTTCACTGTCGCGGTCTTTCCCATGCCTGTTCGAGGAGATCATGCGGCGATCGATATCGTGCAGGAATACGTACCTGGTAGCCCGCTGATGTACACTGGACTGCTTTCGCCATCCACGATGGCCAACTTGAGTGTGTGGTAGATTTGCCGGCGCTCATCTTCGCGACCGAGCAAAGTGTCGGGGATGCTGGAGAGCTGCAATTGGTCGCATGCTGCTTCCAGCCGGGACTGGCATTCTGCCAAGGGCGCCGCCCCGTCGTTTTCAACCGTCGCGCCGTCAACAACACGCCGGCGCTTTCGATTGACGCACTCACCCGAATCGATCCACTTGAGGCGGCGGCTGTATACGTATGCCAAGTCGGGTCCGCGGCTGTCGGGCGCGATCACGGTCAGTGTGCCGGTCAGCGGCGCATACAACTTTGTACAAATGTATGACGCTGCGATGTTGACCACCTTGACGACATTGGCCACGGGCACCTCGTCGATTTCGGTCGTGTCGACTACCTCTTCCTTCGTGGTCGAAGCGGTTGTCGACTGCGCGAGTTTCTTCCGCATCGAGATTGGCAATGCAGATAGTGGCTTCATATACCGCACTTCCATCATCATCTTTCCCTTTGCATCTGCCCAAAGCGCGTGCACGGTCGCTAGTTTCATCGTTGACCCATCGGTTGGATGTCGAAGTTGGACGACGTCATATTGGCCAAAATGCTCCTTGTCGCGTCCTGTCATCCTGGACACGCCACCATAGTACACATCTCCATTCAGGACATTCAACGAATCCCCGACCCACTTATACTTGGTTGACGCCACCCCGACCACCACCGCATTCTTCCTCTTTGGCTTGATCCTCGGGCTCGTGAACTCGACCATGCCGTTCCGTTCCAAGTTCCGGATAAGAATGCGACGCCGAAATATATTACTTCGAAGTATTATGAAGAATATCCATGTCAGAGAAATAATACAAATTAGAACAATTCGGAATGATATATTTGCCGACTCGATTGATAACATAGCCAATCGAAACGTTCAAGGGATTTCGAGGAATTCCGACGAAATTTTACAATTCACGATAAAGCAAACAAAATTCTGGGGTGCAAAAAAGAAATCCTGAACAGAATACGACAACCAACCCAAACGATGCCCCGCGCAAAGCACTTCCGCTCGAAGCACCACGACTATACACTGCCTTCACACACATGCTACACTCGTGGTTGTGTAGCTGGCGTACACGCATGCGTTGACCCATGCACGCTATGGTTCCCACGAAGGAGGGGGGGATGTCCAAGTCCATGAGATTGCCCCACTAAACAGGTGCGGGTTATCGCTGAGTTGCCCCCAACTTCGCTCATGAAAGGAGCACGCTAGTATAAGCAGAACTGACAAACTAAATGTTCTTCTTGGAACGGCAGCATGGGATGTTGTGGGTCGGCCAAGGGAGTGGGGGATGTAGTCATTGGTTCGCGATCCACCATGACCATGCTGACTCCTTGTCGAGGAAATACGTTCCGCGGTAGAACCAATGGCATGTAATGTACAAAAAGCGCTCATCCGCGGGAAGGAGCAGCGACTCGTTGTGTGTGGGCACATGAAAGTGTGTGCGCTGGACCTCCTTTGTCCTCGACAAAGCCATCACCAGCGATGGCGACCACGTTTGTCTGAGCGAATTTTCTCGTGCCGTCGTGATGGCAGCACTGTTTCGTTCGAGAGGCCATGTCAAAGCCAGCAAGGATGGGGCCATTGCCGCCATGCGGCGGAACTCAACGAGGACTAGGCAGTCGCGAGCTGTCTCCGGCCATTGACTCGGTGGCCGAACCGAGCTTCGTGCGCGCGATCATCGGAACAATGTCGATACGATTCGACGCAATCCAAACGAATCCCAGACAAGCAACCATGAATTGGTTCACGACCAAGACGAGTTATTCGTGGGCTTGCTGTAGTACGTTTCGGGCGTTCATAATCGCGAGAGCTTCTTCGCACAGCAGGATTCGTTGTACCAGCATGCGCACGACGTCGTCATTCAAGAACTCGCACGTGTCGTTGTCCAGCACGTTGTGGTCCCATTCACTTTCGTCGGATGGGCATGTGGGTTTCTCCGCGGCGGTATCCGCGGAGCCGCCTGTTGGGCTGCACGATCTCCTGCCTACTACCATGCCGTGATCTCGTTGGAGAAAAGGAATGTCGTCGGCCACTTCTGCTTCGACAACAACTTGTTCTTCCTGCAGCAAGGGTGTGGTGGCGAAAGCATCGACATGTGCTTCCATCTCCGAGGGTGCCTCCACCTCCGTCGGTGCTTCCACTACCGAGGACGCTTCCACCCACGACAGGACAACGGACGACACCAGTTCCTCGACGACATGACCGACTTCTGGAGGCGGTGGACCTGGAGTTGGCGATTCGTCCGTTGGCGCTTTGTACGTCTCGACAGACCGACGAGGGTGGATGGGCGCTCGAAAGGCAATGCCGACACTGGGTCGTTTTGGTGGCGTCTGGCCGCTTGAACTGGAAGAAGCTGACGGTGAAACGTTGGCAGGCTCCGCTTGTTGTGGTGTCGAGTGCGCGGAAGGCAGTTGCTCTGCCGCGCGGGGTGTGTCTTGCTCACGAGGATCACTTTCATTCAACTTGAACGTTGTATCAGCTTCATCTCGAGCAACTTGCGCTGCCGCGTTTGGCGCGTCCACACTTGCTGGATGCACAAACTCGCTGAATCGTTCACCTCGGATAGGCGCCGTGGACAGCACTGATGAGGCGAACGTGTCGGGTGGCGCCACCTGTGGCTCAAGTATCCATGGCGCCATGGTCGTCACCTTGAACACTGGAAAATGCATCGCGCGCGCCGGTGCGAGAAATGCCGGCTCTGCCACCATCGGAGAAATCACTTCGTCGCGGACGAGGCGCGAAGGCGCGTCGGAAGGAACTCGTGGCGGGCTTTCGAGTGAAATGCGGGAGCCGACGGCGTTTGCGTACGGAGCCATGTCGAAGGAAGGGTCGAGGGACAATGTGGAATCGTCTACTCCGGACACATCCGTTCGAAAAGAGCGGACCGCGCGGGACAACGGCAGCGACGAAGTGGACGTCAAAGGCATGAGACCAAGACGGGAGCGGAGACGCTGAATGGTCACCTCGGGATGCTCCATCAAGACGTCTTCCGGTCGCACCGCATACCATGCCGACTCGATGCTGCTCGACATGGACACTTCATCGTCCAGCCCATCCATTCCAGGGTATGGCCCAGCTAAAGGAACGTTCACGCGTGGAGCGCAAGATGACGTGGACGACACGTTGGGACCTATGTCCTCCCAAAGGGATGACCCGAGCTCGTCATGGACGTAACGAAAGGCGGAGTCGTCGTTGTTGGTGCGTTTGGGCGAAAGAAGGTCGTCCACAGCCGCAGTGGAGCATGGTAGAGGAGGAGCGTCGCTACTGTTAGCACTGCTTGTAAATGAAATTCCGTTGAGAAGCGATGGTGGTGACGGTGGTGGTGGTGGCGGCGGGGATGCCGGCGCAGTGTTCAATGGTTGAAGTGATGATGCGACGAGATCTGTCGATGCAGAAAGCTCATTCATGGACATGACTGTGTCGGAAGCAGTATGGTCAGCATATTCACGCGAGGAAGAGATGGTATGCCCATCGATGTCGTCCCAGGCCTTGCTCTGATCGTCGACATCATCGTCCATACGTGACAGTTGATGCTGCGCACGACCATGGGCTTCTTCCAGGGCAGATCTCTTGTCCAGCCACCAGAAGTCTTGCGCTCTGTATTCGCGAGACCTCTCTTCTCTGGACGTCGGTGGACCACGGAAGCGGCGAATGTATGCAGCAATCGTCGAGCCCTTCTCGGTCATTTTTGTTCAACATGACCAATGAATGATGCGAGAAACTCACGCCGTTTTCGTCAAAATGCATCATTTCGTTGAAAATTTATGGAATATTTAGCAATATATACACGAAATGCTACAAAAATATGGTAAAATATTTGTGAATTTTGAATGTGGTTTCGAATTCCACGATGCGATCGACGGAGCCGTGGAGGAAGCTAGGCCGTCTTGACCGAGTGGAGCATGACTTCGCATTGCGTTTTCAAGCGCTGCATGTTGAGACTACCACTCACCACCGTCCGTCATGCCTCTGCAACCAATCGTCTCGTCAACCACGCACCTCTCGGCCACGTCATGACACACTGTCAAAATCTCCAAGGACTTGGAGGACGCGACGATCTTGGACAGAATCGTCGTGCACACGCTGACGAGTCCTTCCAAGTCCAGCATATTGGCCATCACGAGCAAGTCCACGACTACACAGTTCCCACAGTCAAAGAGGGCTTGGTTCCATACTTGCCGAACCTTGGTTGAATGCCATCGCGTCCAACTGAGCTCGACACCCCGTGTACAGCCACATTAGCGCCGCCCGGAACACCTCGACGTCCATTCCGTCGGCCGCCATGCCTGCCATTGACAAAGACGCATTCTCCGACCCTTCACGGAATCGCCCAGATAGCATCGTTGCAAAGTACGACGTCTCACACAGCACCACGCGATGGGCCGGGATCTTGATCATTTGTCCATCTTCCGCCGCGGAGGGCCACTCAAACCAGGCGTCGGCGAACTCGGGGGTCAGCGCCACGGTCGTCATGTCCTGTGCGAACGACGACGACTTGGCGCGACCACAATGTCGCCCCAACCGCATATCGCATTGCGCCATCAAGAAGGGCTACATGAAGCGTCAAGGTACAATGTCCGAGTGGGGCATTTTCGTTTAGCATGTGAGCTAGGCCAGGCTGTTTGCCGACCGTACGCTTGCATGCAATGGAAAATGGGAGATCGTGTACCAATGCAAACACTTTCGCGACCTCTTTGACCGCGGCGACTTTGTGGATCGCGATGTCCAGCCGATCCGTGTACAAGTAGACGAGAATGGCTTTGAGAACCTAGAGAGGTAGCAGGTAGATGACCAGATTCGCGAATCGATTGACGTACGGGACTGTCCAACATGGGCAAGTCAGGGAAGTGCACTTGCACGACGGGCACGTGGTCGGCACCACACAATTGCGGAGCAGCCGCAACCGCCGCGCGGCAATACCCAAACAAGTACGGACAACGTGCTTTTAAAAACACCCAATGCACGAGGGAGCTCTGCCAAGCGAATTAGTTCCAGGATGCGAGTTGGAAGGGTACCTTGACGGCCGTGGGTACTGTCAACGCCAGGTCGTATCGCTGGAAGCAACCTTTGCGTCAACAAGGGATGGGTTCGTTGGGCGAATCTTACTTTGCTCGAGTGATCACCGACGATCAAGCGACGGAACCGCATGGCATGTGGCGCTCCCATGCAGTCCACAATCGCGCCCGATTGGTTGCAACCGGCCTAGGAAACCCATGAAAACGCTGTTTGCATCGTCCTGTGCAGCGCTCTCGGCACCACTTGCCATCTACCACCCCTTGCGGCATCCCTCACAAGAACGTACCATAACTCGAGCGATCGTGTACCCGTTGAGTTTGTCGATTGGCTGAGGCGCGGTCGTCGTCAAAAAGTGCCCGACGCCCAGTACGCCATACCTATGCATCGCCCAACAGGGTGGAGCGAGGACATCATGCACGGCAGACGGACGTGTTCCAGCCCCACGAGTAGAGTCGGCCATCGCGACCAGTCGCCAGCGTGTAATGCGATCCTGACCATGCCATGCGATGACCTGTGAATCCAAGTGGCGGCGTTCCCATACCACAACACACGGATACGATCGGCGCAGTCGTTGCTAGCGTCTGCTGCTTCCGTGGTACGAAAAACTCACGGGCATCGTTCAAATCGTGCCCAGCCATCGCGACTCCGTGCTACAATGAAGTTCGATGCAGTGTCAGCATGCAGAGAGCAAGCTGGCGAACGCAGACTAACGTACTTGACCGTATTCGCTATGGCCCCACGTGTACACGATCCCATCTTCGTCGACGGCAACGCTGTGATGGCTTCCCTGCAATTCAATGTCACCGGGTCAGGCGACAAACCATGGGGAATCGACCAACTTACCGCGCCAACGCTTACAATCGCGGCGGCAATCCCCTGGACGTGTCTCGGTGTCTAGAAATCCCTCGATAAGCGGATATACTCGAGGATGGTGCTGCCAGAGCAAACTGTGCTGGGTGGCCCCTCATCTGTTCATCACGCAGTATGCGATGCATCGTACCGCAAACGAACGCCGTGTACCATGCCCGAGCTGCCCCAGCGCTCTACACGACGCCTCGTCAGAGCTGGCATTGAAGATAGCAAGAGAACGCACCCAAGCCCCCAGGTAAAGCAGCGCGAGATACCGTCCAGCTGCACTTGTGCCAAGTTATGTTGGTGGCCACACACGATGTCGTGGACAAAGAGGCCTTGCAGAGACAGGATCTAGTCCATCGGTAAGCGCTGTACCTGCTAGTGGTGCGCTGTACCAGTTGGAAGCTCGACACTGTGTTGGCATGCCCAAGCCCGAGCTGCGCCAATCATTCATGTACATCAACAGAGGAAATGAACGCTACCACCTACCTGGCCATGCTCGTTGTATCCGCAGCTAAACACTTCGCCGTTCGCACTAAGCGCTAGATTGTGGCCGGCGCCCGCTGACACCTTCGTGATGAAGTGGCCGATCAACGATGTCGCAAGCCGCGGCACAGATTGTCGATGGCGATGCTGCATTCCATTCCAAACAAAGTTCCTGTTGAAGCATTTGCGCTGAAATACATGTCGATAGATACCTCGGTCATTTTGTCCACGCCTTGTTCAAAGTCGCTGACTTCATTCGTGCCTTCCCTGTATGCCGCCTCTGCATCGCGCACGACGCGCGCCAGAATGGGGTCATTTTGAGTGCTGGCACGGACCTCCGCCATCCCCATGAGCATGCCCGACGACGAGGACTCGTTATCGTCAGGTGTACTCGTTGGTGGGCCTTCGTCGTGCAAGAGACCCCACATGTACACGTGACCTGTTATCGTCGTTGCCTGCAAGTTCATCAGATCGTGCAAGGGGTGCAGGAGTGGAACTACCATCGAGTGAATATTACCGCATGCGACATTGACAATATGCTCCTGCAACCCTTTGATCTTTAAGGGAACGGGCTGGTCGTCCCTGGGATCGCCATGGCCGAGCTCTCCGTCTTTCCCACGACCCCTGCACATGTTCGTGGATGAGACGTTCATGACAATTGCCGTACCATGAGTAAACGTCGCCAAACTCGGTCACTGCCAACGCATGGTTGTCGCCCGCGGCGTAGTCCGTCACGACTTCACTGCCAAAATGCTCCATCAAGGTCTACTCGGACGCAAAGAAAGAAAGGCGATTGGTACGATGTATACACGATGCATGTACCGGGTACACGACAGTCTTCTCCCGCTCCGTGGCCGCCATGCTCAACGCGCAGTTCTTTCCCCACACATACAGCGCCATCTCGTCTACCTCCTCGGCGGACAATGCCAGAATGACAACACGGCGACTTTCCAAATCATCACTCACGACAATTTGTCGAAAAAAGGCTGTTAAACATTGACAAAAAATATTTGAAATAAACTATTGCCTTTTTCAAGCCGAGCGGACAGAATGCATGCGCCGTCGAGTTTCAAAAGTGTCCCTTTTCTCGACACAGTCGACTGCGGCTTGCGCCATGGAACCAAGGAACTCCAGTCCCATGGCCGTGACGCTGGTACGAGTGGCTTGCGCATTCAGGTGAACCACAGCCGTGCGGGGTACGTGCTTGCATCCCTTCCTTCCATCCTGACGTAATACTGCATACATGTGTACCTGGACGGAGATTTAACCGAAGGCTTGCTTGGTGCTGCTTCGAGTAAACCTTAAACCTCCTCACCGCTTCATTAGTGTAAGAGTTCGTGGCATTCGATGGTTGGAATGATGATTAATGCGGAGGCTTTACATGAACATGCGGCGTTGGTTGCGATCTTCTGTGCAGGTTGAAGGTTGCTGATGTTAATCAAGCGAGAACGGTGGACAAGGTAGGGATTGCTGAGTTGGTGAAGCAAGGTCGAGGGTGATCGAGTGGTTCTCTCCAACGTGGAGGCGAAGACTTTGGCAAGAGCAGGACGAAGGAATACACGTAGCGATTACTGTATCAGTTCAATTGTTGAAGTGGTCACTCAGCACTGCCGTCATCGCGATAAGGATGCGCCTGCATATTTGCGAGGGTGTCGACTGACGAAGCGGCTCAGGATCATTCGTGTTGAGCAACAATTCTGTGCCGTTGAATTCTATATGTGCGTTCGCGACAAAGTGTCAAGTCTCCACTCAGTCCAGTGCTTTAGACTTGTCATGACGAGACAGGCACCTATCAAGTGGTGCAGACGAAATGTAGCGAAGGTTGCTGGCGGCACCTCGACATCAAGAGACCCGAGCCGAGGGACGAGGTAGACTGCTCTATATCGACATATGAGAACGTGAGATGAGGTAGGAGTTCGGGGACGATGGGTTTCTCGAGAGAAAGGGTGGCTTTTAAAAAAGCCAGGTATGAATGCATAGCTTGACTCGCGTCATGCTCTGCAAAAGGGAAGGGGGGGTTGTCAACAGCAGCGTGGCTATTTAATAGTCTTGCGAGGCCGAGCTCTTGCTCTTCTTGCCGTCCTTGGTCACGGCACCGGGCATTGCCGACTTCTTGGGCAACAAGATGTTGTGAATGTTGGGCAAGACACCTCCGGAAGCGATCGTGACATCACCCAACAGCTTGTTAAGTTCCTCGTCGTTGCGGACGGCCAATTGGATGTGGCGGGGGATGATACGGGACTTCTTGTTGTCGCGAGCGGCGTTGCCGGCAAGTTCCAAGATTTCGGCGCACAGGTATTCCAAGACGGCGGCGAGGTACACGGGCGCACCACCACCAATGCGTTGGGCGAAGCGACCCTTCTTCAAGAAACGGGCCACACGACCGACGGGGAATTGAAGGCCGGCCTTCGACGAACGGGATGAGGCCTTGCCCTTCTTGCCGCGGCCGCCAGTAGCTTTACCCTTGCCAGACATGTTGCTGAGTGTTCTTGATGTGGAAATTTGATCAATGAGGTCGAAGCGGCGGGGAGTTAGGCAAGTTGAAAAATCCCGCCAATCATCATCCTTTAATTTGGCTCCACCAATCCATTCGCTCCATTTCGAGCCCAGCAAAATGCCCTCCAAAAACCGATTCGAATTGGAGGGAGAATTGAATTGGCATCCGGATGTCCGGATACCATTTCAATTGCCACGCCAGCGGTCATTTTGGAATTTCCTCTTAACAACCACCATGGCGAAGACCCCGAGCAAGAAGTCGGCCAAGGCCCCGAAGAAGACCGGTGAAAAGGGCAAGAACCGCAAGACCAAGCGCATTGAGTCGTACTCGACCTACATTTACAAAGTGTTGAAGCAAGTGCACCCCGAAACCGGTATCTCCAAGCGCGGCATGTCGATCATGAACTCGTTCATCAACGACATCTTTGAACGCATCGCGTCGGAAGCTGGCAAGCTCAGCCGCTACAACAAGAAGTCCACTTTGTCGTCCCGCGAAATCCAAACCGCCGTGCGCCTCATGCTTCCTGGTGAATTGGCTAAGCACGCCGTGTCTGAAGGCACGAAGGCCGTGACCAAGTTCACGTCGTCGGCTTAAATGCGTTGGCCACTGAACTGTCTCCCTCAACGTGCGACGCTTCGTGCTCGCCGTTTCTACAACCTGGTGTTTTTGAACACCACCCTCTCTTGAGAAGTTTGCGATCACCCTTTCTGTTTGATTCGGTCCGATTGTCTTGATGGAGCAACCGGTGCATGAAAATGTGGTTGTTCAAGATCACAGCAGCGTTATCTTCCTTACAGGAATGTGACGGCGGGCGTTTGGTACCTCTGAATCACACCATCAGATCCACTCGCATAGAAGAAATCTTCGGTGGCAAATGCATCCGTGATGCCCGTGACCGCCTACGAGTCCTCTTGTCAGTCCTGGAACGACGACTAGAAAGGCGAACGACCGCCGTGGTAAATGTGGCCGATGCTTCTCCTAGGAAACTCGACGACTGTTGCCGCAACTTGGCAGAGTTCGTACTGTTGCTCCAGCTGCATAGTTCCCGGAACAGCGGCAACGACCAGATCTACGCGAGTTACAGGGGATGAGGAGGCTGCCGAGCATGTGCTCTTGCATGCCTTGACGTCGCCAGTCGCCGACCCAGACAGCACACAATGCCCTTGGGGATGCAGAGCTAGCGTCGTGATGGCGCAGTCGTGGGCGGTCGACACGGCATACAACACACGCTGCTGGCGGACGTCGAAGATGTTGAGCGATCCACTGTCACCGCCCGAAAGGATGAGCTACCGCCAATACCCCCGTGAGGCTCGTCCAATGCAAGGATGCACCACAGACTTGATGGCGCGACGAAAACACGATCGAGACAGCGCCAACGGGGTGGCACAATGGGGCGCAGATGAGCGCTTTGTGCGGCGGCAGCAGCGTATCCCACAGACACAAGTTCTTTTTCCTACACCAGAGTGTTCAACGCGATGCACGCGTGGGTGGGCGAGTCAAAGCATACTTGGTGGAGCTCCCCACCGACGCGACGCAGCTCGACGCGTTCAAGAAAGCGAAGTCCCGTGTGCCTCGGTTGTGGCACTGTCGTGTTGCTGTCCATGAGCTTGAAAAGGGTGGAGAATTTTCCCACCTGCAAGTGCGCATAGCACGCCGACGAACCTTCGCTCGCAAAGTTCCACAAGTAGACGTAGCCAAGCGCATCGCATGCCCCGAGCTACGTGCCAGAACCGCAATGACAACGCGCCTAGCTTTTAGAGCGTTGACCTCGACGTACCGTGTAACCAGAGTTGGCAAACCGAATGCGGTGGACGTCGCGGCGAGGTGCTGATGTGAGCGGGGCGAGTGGGTTGGCCTACCAGGATGATATTGAGACCACCACGTTGGCATCCATCCATGTCGCACAGAGAGCACTGGGGCGACGTGGTGCTCGAACACATTGCACGATGCGGTTTGATCGAACCGCCACACTTCCACCGTCCCTTTGGCCGTGCCGCTGCAAAAGAGCGGCATTGCAGGATGCGATTGCACCGCCACGGGCTTGTAGCTTCCGTTGCCCTTGCTGTCGGGCTGGGGCGACAGCACGGACGGCGTTGGCAGCTTGAGCTACACTCGATCAAGTGATTCCGTCAAGTCGTTCCACAGGAATCGACATGACAAACCGCTTACCTGGTCGCTCGAGTCGCCAGCAAAAAACACTGCGGGAGGCGTGTACTTGGCGTTTACATGCAGCTATTGCATCCGCGTGGAGGGATTCGATTGTGTTCGAGTCGTACCTGGCACGATGCAGTCGAACTCGACGTTTTCGGCGGCTTTTTTGCGACCGCGCGATACAGAAATCGGCCATTGCAAAACACCACAGTGTTCTTCTGCTGGTTGTTGCAGCACATACCTCGAATGGCTTCCCCGGGCACGTCCGAGCTGTAGATTGTCTCTGAAAACTGCGGCGGTTGGTCGGCGCCAGAGGCGCCACCCTGCACGGGCGATACGACCTTGGATAGCACGAGCGCAGCGGCGGCGCCAGGACAGATCAGTTGAATCAGCTTGTGCCATGCACACCGCTGGTCCCGCCCGTGTTCTTGTTGTTCGCCAAGCGGACACTGGCTGGCTCGAACACACCGGCACGGGTCATTCTTGACGATTCGGGGAGTGTAGTATGCTTTCCACGTATCTTGCAACGACTCGGCAATGTCAATCTGCTCGGTCAAGCGGACAACATGTTGCTCCATCGTGTCGTGGAGCAGCGCAAGCAATGTGGTCCAGTACCAGCAACTGGTGGATGTGCTTGGCTTGAATGATGGAGTGGCAAGAGCAAGCACCTGCGCGACCATGGCGTGCAGAGCCGGCAAATCCTGGCGGAGCGATGGCAACAGGCGCGGCTTGAAGTCGAGGCAAGTCAGACACACGTCATCGCTTTCAATGGCGGTGCGGATGCTGCCCGAATGGATGATTTCTTTCTGAGGACACATGAGACTGACGAGGCGGACGACACAGCAGGACGGCAACCGCCGCGCGAAGATTGGAAACACGACAAAAAGTCCCGTGTAGATGGCCCCTGTCGCCAGCCGGATCACGTTCGGCTCTTCCTGGGGTAGCATGACATGCAGGTACTCGATCAGCGCCTGCGTCGCCCGGAGGACGCGCGACGGCAGGAACGAACCAGGGGCGACCATCGCGTTCGTGATGGTGTGGACTTGGGCTAACACTGGATCGGACGTGCCCACCAAGTCGTGCGACGCCGTCATCCATGCCACGGTCGAGTGCGGCCGTACGAGGCAGACGACTTGCGACGGCAGCAGATTTGGAAAATAGCTCAACACCGCGTCCACGTGCGCTGTTAAATTGAATGCAAACGGTGGGTACGGTTGCACCAGCGACGAATTGACTGCATCTCCAAAAAGTGCGCACACGCGGTGTAGCTGATCCGACACACAGGCGAGACTCAACTCGTGTCGTAGCCCTTCCAACCACTGGTATTCGCTCGAGTGCACCATCGACGAAAACACCTGAGCCATGTCCGACAGCATGGTGTAACCGAGAAAGCTATAGCCTTGCGCAAGCAGCCGGGTCGCTGCCTACACAGACAGACACCCATGAGACCTTTCCTTTCCTGGATGGATATCCCCGCGTACCATGCAGTGCAGGGCCATGCACATGGGCTCATCGCTCTCATCGACCATGGTCCAACCATGCTGGATGAGACGGCACGCGCCATACAACGACGACGCCGACACTAGCCAGTACGCGCTGGCCGTTGTTTGGAAAACACACGTCATGCGTTCGCTTCCAGATCGAGGTGACAAGGTCGGTTGCGCTAGGAATGGCGCGAGGACTAAGCGCTTGTCCAAGAAAAGCCGACACAGGCACTGCATGTATACATCGTTGGCTTGTACTGCCTTGTCGAGCAGCACTGTCTGGACGAATTGGATGGTAGTGGGGCCAAGCTGCTTCAACGAGGACGGCTCTGACAGCCGTAGGATCAAGAATGACAGGACAAAAGTTGGGTCTGCAGACTCGGCCATCGATGCAGCCTCGTACACTTTGTTTCCCAGAAGGAAGAACGTCGCCGCCAAGAGGTACCTGTATATGCACAGCCGATCGTTAGCCGCGACATCTTCAATTTTCATCCGAACAAACCGTTGCTTGGATTTCAACACGAACGCATTTTTAATGGCGGCGGCTTTCCACCGGTCGTCGGCAAAGTCGTTGACCAGGAGGTCGGCAATTTTGGTCTCTTTTCCAAGCCGAAACAAGTTGGAGAGCAGTCGCGTCTTCCCCAGGAGCACGTAGTACAACGCAATCGAGAAGGGATCTTTGGACGCTAATGCACACAGCAAAACATAAGCCTCCATCCAAGACACACGTCCGAATGACCATCGTACCTGCATACTCTCGGTTCGCGACTTGCTCCGTGGCCAGTTTGAGTCGTTGGATATCGTCCAGCCAAAACGGAAGCCGCAACTTTTGCATGAGGGACCACTCCATGGTCAAATTTTGAAAAAAAGGCAACGTAAACAGATCCATGGACGTCAAACGCGCCCACACCATTGCTTCAGCGCACATTCCACCCGACTCGTTGACCAACATGAGATGCACCATGAAGCGAAGACTGGGCAAGTCCTTGGCGTCTGCTTCGCAATTGAACATGGTGCAGATCGTGCGAAAGAGATCCCGCTCTGCCTCGGGTACAAATCGCAACCGATGATCGTTGGCAACCGAGAAGAATGCTTCAAAGTTCACCCCTGTGTCCTGCCGTGACGCCTTCGACACTGGAACTCGAGGTGCAAACAAGTTGGCGGCTGTCTCGATTTGCTTGGTGAAGGTAGCTCGGTCGTCTATGCCCGCCGAGTCGTAGCATACATTGGACCACGACATCCACGGCATGGACATCTGGGACTCTTTCATCTCCATATACGATTGGTTTTCATTGAGCGTGATCGCATCTACCAACGTTTGGAGCACTCGTTGGGCGGCCTTGAACCGTCCGTCGTACATGAGGTGCAACAAATTCATCGGGCTCCACACGCCGCGCACAGTTGAAAGAGTCGAAGTGGTCGGGAGCTCCACCTGCGTCACGAACGCTGTGTGGGCCAAGTACATGGTGGCCTGGCGCCGCGACACACACAAGGAGGAGGGGGTGACACCAGGGTGCAGATTGTGCGCGAACAATGGCGTTCCATCCACGTGAAAGCCAAATAGTGCCGTCGGGGACAGCGCGACCACTTGGCTGCATCGATTCAACCACGCCAGAGACGTTACCGTCGTGCTCACATTCCATCGAGACGCGGGTGTGCGATCCCAAACATGTTGAATGTGAACCGCTAACGAGGACGAAGGCGCAGTCGGCGGACTGGACGAAGGCATGAGCAAGAGCGCCATGAGACCTGAACCATCGAGCTCGACGTGTCGAAGCCCGATCAGCAGGGGCAATGGCGGTCGACTTGGATGGACACTCAAGCATGTTTCCTGCATCTCGTCCGCCGTGGCGTCTTCTGCTGAGAAGCGCCAAAAGTGCACCGCTCCACCGGTTGATGGTACCTCGGACAACGCTGTTCCAACAGTCACAAATAATGAACCAGAGGACGAGTTGACGAAACCAGCGTGCTTGACAACGAGTCCCGACACGACTTTTCCGACTGCGGCCTTTCCCAGACACCTTGGTGGTTGCGCCACGTCATCGGGGAGATGCAGACGCCACAGGAAGATCTCGCCTTGGTTCGTGATAGCTACGATGCGAAACAGGGTGGACGGCGTGGCAATGCCCGCTTCCTCCTTGGAACAAAGCAGGAACATGCCTTCCCACGACACCAACGATCGATCTCGGGCTTGGTCGACGCAAACTTCTGAATCTCGCACAACGTGCCGGGTGCTCGGGTCTCGAGATCGGATAACATTCAATGCAACTGACGATGGCAACGTAATTGTCACGAAGTACAGGACGGTGTCCCGAGGTGTCGACACTGTCAATGCCGCCACGACCATGTCATTGCTCTGCATCTCGCGACCAAATTGTTGGTCAACTGGCGAATTTGGCTGGAACGGAATAATCGAGTGATGGGGAATCTCAGAGTCGTAAGCCACCGCGTGATGGGAACCATCTCGAACGACAAGCACAGAGTCGTGGGTGGTGGTGGTGGAAACGGTCTTGATTCCGTGTAAACGCGCCGCCGTCATCGGGACGAGATTTCGAGTCCATGTGCATTGGACTTGCGCCTTGGGCTCTTGTGTTTTGGAATTCTTGCCTGCAATTCCAGCAGCGAGCGTCGACGAGGGAGGTGGGAGTACGACCGACACACGCAGCGCTTGGAGCTCGTGCGACTTCGTGAACAGAGTCATTGCGACCTCGAGAGATTCGGGAGCGGATCGACTAGTTGCTAAGACAATTGTTTTATTCAGATGGCATCGCTTTGGTTTGCAGTCACCGCATAAGGTCCACGCACAAATTTAACTCTGACCACATCGCGATGGCTTGTTGAACGTACTTGGTATAAAATCCGTAATAGAGGCGTGCAACGGGACAGCTTCTTTCAGGTCTTCCCGAAGGTCCGACGTGGTGCACACCAGCGTCGCTCGGGGAGTCGACGTCTAGAAGACAGTCCACGCACATGAGCGCGTTGATGCCAAAGAGTATGATGGAGCAGTACTCGATTCTTACCAAGAACATGGTGCAATCGACACGCCACACACCAAAATCTCCATCCTCCCCGATGATGTACAAAAAATACGTGATCGAACACTTAGACAGCGCCAAGTTGCCCTGGATGAACTTTTCCCCTACATGAAGGATTTTCCATTCGTTTCACAGCCACCTCCACGAAAAATACGGAAGATCTACCTTCGTGAGTGTCGGCGGTCGCGCCGGCGCGAAACGAGAACCCAAGCGATTTTGACGACTTAGTGTGGACCCTGTCCATCGTGTGCGTGTACAGGTGGTGTGTCTTGTCGGCGACGGTCGCTTTCCACACCTTCATCGAGTTGTTCATATCCGTGGGAAACTCCCACAATAAAGTTTTGGGCGCTGTTTTGCGCCGAGATATAACTCCGCCAACTCGAATCGGATGGTCGTCTAGCACCCAAACGCGCAAGAACCCAAATGTACTGGCATTCGAATCCTCCCGCCACAATGTAAGGGTCCCGCTCGCGTCCAGTGTCATGAGAGTTGCATTGTCGAGCACCCCTGGCGCTTCAGGACGCAGCCATTCTGGTGGTGACGGGAAAGTCAGAGGAGTTGGATCGACGAGCGAAGGTACCGAGGGAACGAAGTGCACGGGAATGCCCGAGATAGGTACAAAAAGGAGCCGTCATTTCCATCGTCCACGAGTTCAGCGACCAAACCTGGACGGCAACATCAGGGCAAGAACGACGAGGTGGCGGGAGAGCACCTTGACGAGCCGGCTATGGGGACTCGTGCAAAGCGCGACATATCGGCCCGTGGAACATGCATCGAACAGCTCGGCAGACAGAGGCGTCATTGCAGTGCCGAGGTCGAACGACCTGCTTGAATACACGGAAACGGCATCGTCGACAACTTTCCAGATCGTGACTCGCGTGGCGACACCGACGAGCCAGACGTCTTCTTTGGATTCGCACCATTTGAGCGGACACGTCATGTCGGGTTCACACCTGCCGCAAGGGAATTGTTATGGAGTCGTGTGGGGGAAGTACTATACCGCCAAGTTGCTTGTGTATGCCACGCCATCGACTCATCATCGCATAGAACACTTGCAGCGGTGGAAGTCGAAGATGGCGGATTGTCGGGATTCAGCAATAAGGCAGTCCCATCCACACAGGCAACAGCAATACGACATGTGGATTCATGCAGCGCAATACTTTGAGGCGTCGAAGGCAGGTGGATCACCTGAACTTGCCTGTACGATGGCTGTGACGCCGAAGGTGCTGTAGTCGCTTGCGCCAGCAACGGAGCTCGAGCGATGACCACGGACTGAGACTCCTCAGGGGAGTAAAATATCCAGCGGTAGTTGACCATATCGTGCTGCACGACCAGCGACGACGCGATTCCGACGAGGCATGGCGCTTCCTCCAGCATTCCGGTTGCTTTGGAGCAGCGATCAATTAGCACTTCAAGCAAATATCCTTGTGTGCCCAAAAAATATGTATCCGGAAAAATCATTTCTTCAATATGATTTGACAGAATATAATTCATTTTGACCAATTAAATGTGGTCATCGATATTGTTCGGGATACGATTCAAACTTTCGCGCACTCAGCGGAGTGCCGGCGACATGAGCAACGGCCTGCCGTTGTACATCCCACGCGAAGATGGAGAAGATGGAAACACGTCGATATGGGAGATGCCTCCCGCGCCAATTACGTATGCTAACCTACCACCTGTGGAGGCGTCCCGACTGAACTTGGCGTCCTTGAACAACCTGTTGAGCAACGTGCCGTTGTCTCTTCTGTACGTGCGATGCCGCTACAATGCGACAATAGCATTTTTACACAATGGATCGACGTAGACCTGACCACAATCCCCCCGCTGTGCTGTGGGACACCATGTCACCTCTTCTTCGCGCTGTAGTGACGGATGTCCACGTTTTGTCGCCCAATGTTCAGCGACCGCAACCCCCATCCAAGAAGCACAAGACGTCCGCACCGGTCTACGATCTCACTACCCCTGAACACAACCATCAGCGTTCGTCCAACGATGCCACCAAAGGTCATCGTTTGCCGCGTGCAAAGGTCATCGAGATTGCCGATGAAGACGATGACGGCCCCAGTACTCCCCTTGCAGGCGACACGCAGGAGTCGAAAAAGAAGGCAATTGTTCAAAAGTACGAGGATGAATTGCATGGACTTTTGGGTTGTTTGTCCACGGCACCGGAGGTCTCCCGAGTGATGAAGAAAATCATGCAAACAATGCAACTGCTACACAAATCGCACAAGGAGTTGATCCAACACTTATCGTTCGACTTGCTTGGTGACCTCATGTCCCTCTTGGACACAAGAGTACGTGTGCTGCCCTTAGCATGCTTCAGATTATAATCACATGGTATCTTTAAATATTCACCACGCATGTGTAGGTCACTGATGCGTTGACGATTGATTTATTTGCCGTGGCGTATGCCAACAACGGAGACGCGGACTGGGAAGTGTCGGGTATCGACTACAACAAGCTCAATGACATTGTGTGCGCGATGGATGCGGCCAGTTGCATGCTGTACATCATGACATCGCCGAATATAGACAGGCGCTTGCTGTCGGAGGAGTACATTGAACACTGCATCAGCTTGCTGAAGCATGTACGGTCTTTTCGTCATAAATGAAATCACTCGTGACAAATTGTAATAGGTCCTACAACGTCTGCTGTGTCCGTCACTCGACAATCTGTCATTGTCGAAGCTGTTGCAAGAATCCAAGAGCAGCGTCCACCCCAAGTATCACGGGGCGCTCAAGAAGAAGATCGACAAAGTTGGACTCGTGCATATTTTAAGTACCTACCTCGAGACTATTGAAGAACTCGTGACGGGAATCAAGCTCCAGGACAGCTGGATACTCACCCTTTCGAACGCCTTAATCGACACGTTTTCGCTGGAAGGCTCTCAAGCAACGCAGGCCAACATTTGCCTGTTGCAAGTGCGTGCCAGTGGGCTGTTTCGCGGGATTTTCCTGCACTATCCCACCCATCGCGCGCTCTTGATCGACGACATCTTTTCTGTCCTTTTGAAATTGCCCTCGAATAAACGGAATTTACGAACGTTCAAGCTATCTCATGGCGACATTCAAGTTCAGATGATCTCGATGCTGCTTGTGACTCTGGTGCAGTCGTGCGTTCGTGTCTCGTTGGAGAATGTGCGTGAGGCTGCAAGGTATGATGCTTTTAGTTCTTGGATGGTGGACAAGACGTAACGATCAATATTTATAGGGTCATTGTCCACTCGTTCGTGCAAAAGTGCATGAAAAAGGAAGAATCCAACGACTGTCGACAAACGTTTGAGAACTTTGTTGATGATCTGCTCGTAATGCTGACGTCACCTGAGTGGCCTGCAGTCCAATTGATTTTGGAATCGTTGAGCGGCGGTCTCACTAGCTTGATGGCTCAACAAAAGGCTAACAAGTTGGAGTCGCAAACGTCACTTTTGGCGCTACATTTGTTGGGCAAAATCTGCGCGACTATTCGTCAAATTACGTGTGAAGCGAATGCACAACCCATTCAAGAGATGAAGCACCCACCGGCTTTGGTTGAATGTCGTGAACAGGCGATTCAACTTCTCGCGTCCAAACGTACGTGATATATACCTTCAACTTTACTTTTGTAACCGTTGGGCTGGTGTAGAGGTTCAGATTACCAAGGCCAACCTAGTGGAGTGCATGGTGTTAATGCATCTGGGTGAACAAAGCACTCACATGTGCGTTGACGCTGAAGTTTTCCATCGCGCACAGTGTTCATTCAGCGACGAGTTCATTTCGCTCAAGGCAAACGTCACTCTCACGGGCACAATGGGCCGTTTATTAGTCACTGAACTCGTTTCCCATCGCGAGTTGTGCCAGCACTTCGACCAGATGTTGATGGCGATCATGGCTTTTTTAACTCGAGGGCAACCCACGTTTCGAGCCCGCGTGTTGAAAGCCCTCATGATGATTGTGGACTCAGATCCGCTGCTCATGGGTGACGACCACTTGCACCAAGCGATCACGCTGAGTCTGTCGGACGAAGCGACATCCGTCCGTCAATCTGCCGTCGAGTTGGTTGGAAAATACATTGGCCTACAGCCCATGCTGGTACACCGTGTGCAATGGTACTTTGTAACTTGACGTGACATGTGTGTGGCTGGCTAGTTTCCAAAGTACTTCGCCATGCTGGCCGATCGTTTGCGCGATAAAGGTATCAGTGTACGAAAAAGCGTGCTGCGAATATTCAAGGTGTACCTGCAATACACAACGATCGAGCCGACCGTTGCAGAGTCGGTGTCCAAGGCTCTCCGAGCTCTGGTTGAGCGAATCGGCATCGCCAGCGAAGAAGAAAGCGTCAAGGACACCGTATTGTCAACACTGCAGGACGTTTGGTTCGGTGCTCGTCCGACACCTCCATCGAATCGTCGCGGCCAATCGAACCAAGAAACCACAGTTACCCCATCGTGTCTTCGGAAAAAATCGACCAACAACTACAAAGTGCTGTCGATGATCGACGTCGTTCACCATGTCCACAATCCGGAATGGATGGTCGCTTTAATTTGTCGTTTGATCAAGAAAAACGCCGACGAAATGGAAACCGCGTGCTCTACGATGGTGTCGGAACTCATGGAGTTCTTGCTGCAGCTGGAGGAGGGCCATGCCCTTCCGTTGCTTTCGTTTGATGGTGCAACTTGTGGCATGCAATTGGCAAGCTTATTCATGGCGTCGTGTATTTCTTAGATAAAGAAGCGCAACGTTTGGCGACTCTCAAGACTCTTCATGTTATTTGCGAGGCATCGCCCAAGATGGTACTTCCTTATCTCGATACACTCACGGTGTATTTAAAACAAGACGATCGACTGAGCAAACCCACTCAAATGCACGTGCTTGCGATGGCCGCAGCCATGATTGGATTAGTCATTCCGTGCGTGGAAAAACCAGGTATAGTGTACATCGCATGGCGAATATTCTTGAATATTGTTCTCGCAGTTGAAAAATGGATGGTGGCACTCGAAAACGACCTCAAGTCGTTGGTCCTGGGCGCCCCGCCACAAGTCGTCAAGCCTGCCGTCGAATGCCTTGCGACGCTTACTACTTGTGCAAATCGACAGCCGAAACTATTGCTGAAAATTCTCGAAATGCTCTACACGTTTCTTCTCAGGGTACGGTAATTATCCATCATTTTTACAGGGCTGTAATAACGTGAGCCGCAGTCGGAAGCGCTGATCAAGTTGGACAAACCAATCTCAGACAAACCGAATCTATTGCGCTCGTTGTTTGTGGCGGGCCTCGTCGCGGGCAGCTTGGAGTGGGGCGCCCTACCACACTTTTCCAGTGCTATCTTCACAAAGGAGAAGGTCGGTCTTCATTTGTTGCCTATTGACAATTTCATTTGTCGTAGCTGGTGGACATGGTGTACGAAGTTTACGAACGGTTCTGCAAGGTGTCCAACACACACGTACACTTTGATGGTGCTCTGCGCGTAAAGACCGTCCAGGGACTGGGGTATCTCTTACATAAGAACCCCCGCATCCTGTTTAAATCCCAACAAGACAACACGTTGAGGATGACGATTCTACACCAAGATCCAAAAGTGCGCGCGCAAATTTTGGCTAGTTTGACCGAGTTGCTTCAAGCGGAAGAGGCTCGGCTAGAGAAATTACACTCGCAAGGGTCAAAACAAGGAAAGGATTATGTCCAAGGCGACCAAGAAGGTATAATTTCTTTCGTTTAACGACATTTAGCCGAAGGTTGGACGTTAGGCGATGCCTCTTTAATTGGCGGGGTCATGATTGCACAGCTGGATGATATTTTAAAGGTCGCCGTGCAAAAGGAAGCCTCGATTCGAAGCCAAGCCATAGCGTGCATTGGTCTTCTGCTTACCCAAGGTCTCATTCCACCCATGCGGTGCATCCCGACTCTCATCGCGCTCGAAACCGATCAAGTACGTACAGATTCGAACTTGTGATATCCAACGCATGAACAGGTAGCATTTATTCGAGACGCGGCGCACATGCACTTGGTTTCTATTCACGGCAAATTCCCAAACATGGTCAGCGGCCCGGCAATCCAAGGCATTTACTCCTCGTATCAATTTCAAACCCGTGCATTTGGAAAGTCCGTTGTATGCGACTCCGAAAACGTGGTACCGTTTTCGGCAGTGTTTTACCAAGTGTAATTGTCGCCACAGTGCCTTCTGGGGAGAATGTACCGTGCGTGCTTTCAAGGAAATCGGTCCCAGCGTCACGCGTTCTACAATGGTTTGTTGGGCGCGTTTCGCGAAAAGGGACCGATGTTTACTGCCCTCGCGGAAAAGCGCTTGCCGGTGGTGGCAGCGTTAGGATACTTGATTTATGTTGCCCAGCTACTGTCTGTGCTCCCGTACGACGTTGAAGATGAGCCGTTGTACCTTGTTTACACAATCAATCGAGACGTGTCTTTGGGCTTGGGGTATGCTTCAATGATAATCACTGAACATTTCCACAATGTACTGTTACAGAACGGTGCAAGACAAGATGAAAAAGTTCCTTGGCAAAGATGCTTCGTTCGACAACTTGCCTGTTACTGACCCGGTGAAACCAGAATTGGTGGCAGTGGGCCACTCGGCGTTTGGATTGGCGCTGCTGGTGCGTCTCAAGATGGCCCTCAAGGCCGCATATTTGCTGGACAATGAAAAGTGCCAGACGTTTCAAACCACCAACACAACCAAGGTACACTGCATTCGATGCTTACTTCGGAATTCGATCATGCGTGTCTTGGTGTAGGCCAATGAAGCACCCGTGTCGCGGGCGTCGCTTGACACAGCAATTCTGAATGTTCCAGACATGGTTGCCGATGACGTGATGAACAATTCATGGCTCCAGCTCAAGTTGCTTGGCAACGCAGCCTCGGACGACCAGGCGCAGCTTGATTTCGACTGGGAAAACCCCCAATTGACCAAGAAAAAAGGAGTCAAACTCCACGGCAAGCGTGGCCGAAAGAGAAAGGAAAAAAAAGCCGACAGTGGCGACGACGATGACGTCCAAGTGGACGACATATTTTAAGATGACTTGAGGTCGATCGTACAAGCCAACACTTCAAATTACACACACAGTGCCCGGTTTACACTTGGTTGCATGACCTCCCTCACGATTTATCTCATAAGCCACAGCATCGCCATGCTGTGCGCCACGGCCTGACTTCCCCATCTCTAATTGTCGCATCTCCACCTACGGCGCGCAGCTCCCCAAGTCTGCCTGATCAACGTCGGCAGATGCTCAAGTGGCGACAGCGGCGAGGATGCGGCAGATTAAGAGCTCCAATGTCCCTGGCGATACGTCGTGCAAGTCTTGAATCGGCATGGGAGGCTGAAGAGCGAAGAACCCTACAATCGCGTCAGTGCACCTACGCCGCACCCGTGCAAAGCTGTCACCTCGATCCAAAATGCCGAGAAACGCCAGCAAGCACCAGAATTGGTCCGATGGGTCATCGTTCATCACTTGGCTGACGGCGCTGGCGACACTGTCGGCCACCGATTCTTCCCGCAGTATCCAGTCGAAGCCTGGAGAGGTAGTCGATCAGAATGACGTGGGGGAAGTTCAGACTTGGCACGCACAGTACCTTGGTCGGATGGAACGGCACCGTTTGCAGCAAAGGACGTGTTGAGGTGGGGTCGTACCTGGTCGACGTAGAAGCGAAGGACTCGGAGCACGTGTTTACTCGTCGACGCATGAAGCGGCACGTCAGGAACACAACATTCCGCCGCCATGGCCACATCATTGTAGATTGCACGCTTTTCCATGCGAGCGTATTGCCACGAGTCCGCGTCCCGGGCCAACGGGACAATCGCGGTGACGACCCACCACATTTGCCGCCGGTACATGGACGGCAGGCCAAACTCGAGAGTGAGCCGCACGAGTTGCGTCAAGTTGATCGTAAGAGCTGGCGCTGGCGTGTCTTGGCCGAGCAGCGCCGCAAACGAGTCCTCGACCTCGGCCGAGTGCACGCCCAGGCTCTTGTAGTATGTCTTGCGGAAATTCCGCGGCATTTTATTATCGAAACAACGATGGACATAATTTAAAAAAAGGCCATCTCTCCACCCTGTCGACAACGATCGCGGTCGATCATGGCGGCGCCGTGGCTGCCACGATAGGCTGTGCAGAAATGGCGATGGGCGCTGCTGGTCGAGATTTCCCGCGTTCCGTCAGGGATAACATCTCGAACTGCATGGTGTGCACTGGATGGGCGTCGCCTGCGATGTACCGCCCCCGTTGACCGTGCCGACACTTGCAGTTCCATCCTAATGGGCGCAGTATGCTTCGCAGGAATGTAGACCCTTTCCTCGGCGTGTGTGCAATCTAGTTTCCAGTCCCTGCGACGTGGGCTCCGAACCAGTCGACTTGGCCCGAGACAGTCGACCGAGGACGCTGGTCGTATGCATCGTGAACTCTCAGGATGAACTCGTTCGAGTTGCTTGAAACGATTTTAAATGCGGGTTGATTCGTTTGGGGACAACGCGGTCTGTCGTTGACGTGACGTAGAGGTTATGGCGAGCCTTGGCAAAGCCCATTCGTTGCCTGCAGTACATCGATGCATTCGCAGAGGCATGGGGGGTGCAAAGCTACATCATAGCTGCACTGGGGATGCCTTTATCGTACAATACGCACGCACCTCCATGATCGTTCTTGCCGCGCGACTACTTCAATGGATTCCGTTGGGAAGGAATTGGACGCCGAGACATCCGGATAACGATTTTGACATGGCCGCCATGGTCACTAGAGAATTCCGTCTGAAGATGGCGCGGTTGGTCGATCGGATCACGGCCAAGGAACTGGTCGAGATCCTCAAGAATCCCGAAGCGAAAAGCGCCGTGCGCATTGTGGACGTTCGCGACGTTGACTTTGCCGGTGGGCACATTCGAGGGGCCATCAACGTCCCAGAAGAACACTTTCATGACGACGACGAAGTCGACAACTTTGTCGAGGAGATGAAGTCTGTGCCCACCGTCATCTTTCACTGCATGATGAGGTCCGCCGCCATCTGCCCCGCATGGAATTTTAACGTTTGATATCGTATAGCCAAGTCCGTGGTCCATTTTGCGCTGGCCGATTTCAATCGCGCATGAATGTCGTCCTCGAAGACGCCGCTGTCAAGCCCAAGGTGCTCGTCTTGACGGGTGGGTTCCAGCTCTTCCGACAGGTAGGTGCCTCCATACTTTTAAGCGGATCTTTGGTTCATAACAATACTTGGCGTGATGAGTAGAACTACAGCCACGACGACGAGTTGGTCGAAGGGGTGCCGAAGGAAGAAGACTAGGTTAGGACCCGACGGCATAAGACTGCCACGTTGGTCGGCTGTGCTGATCCTTGGTAATGTAGTCTATGAGAAATCCCGGTGCAATGCACGGTATTCCTAGCCCTTGCCACCGCTTCACTGCTTGATCCATCTTCTTTGCTTCGCCCACAAGCACCATCGTGTCTTTGTCCTGCATTCCATTCCAACACGTGTCCATCATCATGATCCATCCACATGGTACGTACGAATTTCGACGTGTCGTCTACGACCGTTCCACCTGCCGCTTGAATGATTCGCCTGCACATGTCTGCCGGCGGCGTCATTGAGTCAGCGTCATGCAAGCCAAATTTTCTCCGGTAAAATGCGCCTTTCGACCGCCCCGACGTGATTTCTTGCCGCCAGTACTGCGCCACCAACGGCCAGATGCGGTGGTCCAGTGAGCCCTTTGCCGTACGTTTCGACGCGGTGGGGGCGCCCCACTCGAACGGCACTTCGTCGACAAACATGCCTTTCGCCAGACATTCCTTGAGGTAGGCGGGGTACAAAATCCACTACAAACAACAATATGTTGTGGCCACCATCGTTCGAGAATCCAATCCATCGTACCTTGCCGGACGCGATTCCGCATACGACCTTTTCCGTCCGTCGAAGGTCTTTGCAAATGATGTGGGTGCATGCTGGATCGAATGCCCTCTTTGTCTCCAAGACAGTGCCGCCCAATGCCATCACGATCGACGCGTCCATCGCCATATCTTCGTGGGAACCAGTCAGGAGAAATACGTAGCGAGAGGCTTTCGGTTTGGCCAGTGGGGCTGATTTATTTGGCGTGGGGGTCGATGGCGCATCAGTTGTCTCCATCTGCATCAGAATGTGCTAAGAACAACCAAGATCAGCATGTGGTTGCGGGAATACCCGATTCGCAGCAGCCGTGCGCCTAGATTTTGCTGGCGGAGGTGGATCGTCCTGTTCGATGACTTCAATTTCATCATTCGATTCCGTTGCTGTCGCGCGAGACGGTCGTTTCTTGGCCTTAGCAGTTGGTTTCTTCGTAGCCGCAATGGTCGACCGGCCGTGCTTCGCAACAATTTCATTCTCAATTGAGTTGGTCGCGATGGCTTTGCGCAGTTGAATAGGCGTTGTCACGGCACTGCCAGCCTCAGCTACTATTTCGGTAGACGGCTGTTTGGATGGAGTGGATGCTGCTTTCAAGGGAGTTGATCGTTTGTCGTTTTCCAACGCATCCAATGCATCGTCCACTTGAAATTTCGGCCCCTTTTTCGCACCAGGCTTTGACAGCGTCATCTTGGTTGGGTTACCAGAGCTAATTGTGTCCATTGCGGTTTTAGGGACTTCCACTGCGACATTGGTTGAAGTTGTGTTCGTCGTGGCGCCATCGATGGTTGCGCTCGCTGAGGGACGTTGTTCTAGCCACGAATATGCGGCTTCATGTACCTTTCGCCACTGTTGCACACACTGGACTAGCCACTAGCAACATATCCCACGACAAGTCAGCAACTCAAAACCCCAAGAATGCCTTGGTTCGACAGATGAACAAAATTACCTCAAATTTGACGACGTTGGTGAGGCCCCACGCAAGTGACCGTTTGAATTTTTCACCTGAAGGCTCAAGACACAGCAAGTGGGTGGTGTGGCTCCTACAGAACATTATATCAGACACGTAAAACACGCCATGAGAACACTTCGTTGACTTTGCGTACCGAGATAAAACAGACAGGTAACACGCGCCGGTGAGCCGCACAAGGGCTTGAATATCATCGCGAGTTGGACTGGACCGGCCGTTGAATCCCGAGAGTGTGATCACGCACCCTTCCATGCCAGTAATTCCGCCGTGGCGTCGCGATGGTGCGTACAGGGCTTGCCGTACGAGCGACGTCTCTACATCATTCAAACCATGATGAGTTTCTGTGTCCATCACAAACGCATAGGAAGCGCCATTACCCGGAGACGTCGCCACGATGGCTTTCGCAGAAATACATGCCGCCACCCATTGCATGCTGACGATGGGTTTTTGCATCTTCAAAGCGGTGGCGTACTCGGCGCCGCTTTGGTATCCGCAGACGACGTAAGAAGCTTTGGGCAATTGGATGAGGACGTCTTCGGAGCTAGGAGACACCACAGATGCTCCCAACGCCTCCAGCGCATGCATCATACGATGTCGCAGGGAGGTAGGAATGTGCCGGGCAAAAAGGATCGTCTCACCAGCCATGGCGTCGGAAGTGACGGTCCCCTACAGCTAGTCGTAAGTCTTCGATCAGGAAGATGGAGATGAGCATAGCTTACTTTTGCCAGATCTTTCCACAAGTCGTCTGAGGCAGGCACAGGCGGGTAAATCGTTTGCTTTTGGCACGTTTCTATTAGGTCTTGGACGGTTAGTTCGCTGGCAGAGGCAGTGGAGCTCGTCGCGGACAAAATGTCGCTTCCGTCGGGAAAGCTAAAATCGCTCTCGGGCACTCGACGGCCCTGCTTAACGCACTCCTGAACCCAGTCGTAGCTTACGATTTGCGGGGACAGCAGACCGCATTGCCCGAGGAGGTACTGCACCACCATGTCTGGTAACGACCCTTTGCAACCACCGGCAGCGAAGCGGTCACAGCCGTCGCGCACAAGCGCAACGTTGGATGCCACTTCGTCAAGCATGGGTTTGGTCTGTCGCTGCCACTCGACAGCTTGCATGTAGTCGCTCCCGCTGTTGCGCAAACATAGAACGTGAGTTGCTGCATTTGTCGGCAGCGATACGAGTTGTCCACCACCATTTGCCATCAGCGCGGCAATCACCTTGCGAGGGTCCACATCCACTTGCACGCAGTAGAGCACGACGGACGAAAACACTTTCTTCGGGTTTGCCGAGAATCGGTCCGTTGGCAATAGCAGCTGCGAATTCTGCAGCACGCTTCGGAAAATCCACGTGGGAGTCACCAGCGGAACGTAGCAGTTCTCACGAAGCGTCAAGTACGAGTCGTAGTGACTTGATGGGCATATTACATAGCTCTGGACGGGTGTCGTCCCTGGTCGTGTGCCGCCTTTCCCTTGGACGACGTCGATCGAATCCGTCACTTGTCCTCCCATCACACGGACACATACTTGGACGCATTGGCGTTGCACTCCCGTGATAGACGGGCATATGTACACCCACCAAGCTGGCGCTTCTTCTTCCGTTGGCTGCGGTTGCATAGGAGCCTTCTTCGTCGACTTGGGTGCCCGTCCCATGGGATGTTGTTGAGATGAAGTTTCCGTGGCGCCAAAATATATAAATTTGCACAGTGCACAAGTTTATACTAAAGCCAAGCCAACATTTTGAATTGCGCGCTCAACCCTTTCGAGGATGTTAAAGAGGGAGGCAAATTCATTGGCTAAAATGATGCCTTCAATCAAAAATCGATTGGTCAATACTCTATCCATTGACCAATCATATCTCGTCAACATCCACATTGGTGATGGCATCAAGGCCGCGACACACCATGTCCATGGAGCACCAAAGCAGCGCTTGCATGATTGAGCAAAGTTGAATGGTGTAACAACTTTGTTTAAGGAACAAGCAGCCTGAGATATCAGAGCAGACCGGCATGTTGTCGAAGAGCAGCCACAAAGGTGCTTGTCCACATCGCACAAACTCGGCCCTCGGACGTCGAGAACCAGACTGTCCGATCGGCACAAAACATGCGTGACCAAGTCTTCCTTGATTGAAAAATTTCTCCGCTCTGTGTGGAAAGTGACCAGAGGAACACCTCGACCACACTTCATACACATCCATGCATTCACCATCGTTTCGAAACATTTCTTCCACCGCCGATAGAGACCGTGATGGCCCCGACAAGAGGCGCACACGAACATGAGAAAAGAGGAATTGTCGTGGATGAAAACGTGTTAGATACAAACGGTGGGCTTCAAACCCGCTTAGGCCGACTGGGAGACGTAGATGGAGTCCTTGGAGACGGCGATCCCGACGCGCGAGTCCTTGGACACGACGGTCGTGTTGCCCAAAAAGTAGTACTCGGCACCGACGTCCGAGGCAGTCGCGGCCAAGATGTCGCCCTTGGTCGTGGTAAAGTACTCCTTGCCGACCGTAAAGTCGGCGTTGGCAATCTTGACCTCGCCGCCAAACACGACGCCGTTCGAGCCAGACCCGACACCGACTGGCGCACCGAGGAACTCCACGACCGCCACGCGCTTGTGCTGGACCTTGTCCAACGTGCCCGAGTACACGGCGAGGAAGCTCGAGTTCGAGACCGGCACGATGTCCAGCGTGACCGCGCCAGAGGCCGGCGCCGCCGTCTGGCCAACCAGTGTAAAGTCGCCGTTCGAGATGCGCATCAACGGCGTCACGGGGACGAGCGAGAACGAGTCGGTGACCTTGAACACTTGGGTCGTCGGGCGACCGTAGTTGTTTGGGTTGAGGAAGAGCAGCGCGAGGCGATCCGCGCTGACCAAGTGCACGCTCGGCTTGGGCGACCACCCGTAGAACGTGCCAAAGTCAAACGCACCCGCGACCGACTGCACGACGTAGTCGCCACGAAACACAATCTTGCTCGACGACGTGACCGCCACCGTCGCAATCGTCAGCGCGTTGTTGTTGGCCTTGTCGTAGAACGAGAGCGCGATCAAGTTGTCCGAGAGCGCCGTCGAGTCCAAAAAGTACGCCGGCTGGTAGTTCTTGTTGCACACTTCGCCGAGCTGGAACACGCCCGTCGCGTTTGTGACGGCCAGGAGCACGCACAGACCCGACTTGTTGACCGGGTTCGAGTTGAACCACGTCACGACAAACGCGCCGGGGAGCGCCGCGATCGCTTGGGGCTTCGAGTTGGTGCACGAGTCCGACCCGTCGTAGTTGTTGGCGACACCAAAGCGCAGTGGCGCCGACACCGAGATCGCGCCGTCCGCCGCCACGGACCCGACGTGAATGTTCTGGTACCACGACCCGTTCACAACGTACGTTTCGAAGGTCGTGGCGGCGAATTGCGTCGCCGAGATGCGGCCGAGCGTGTTGGACACGGACCCGTTCGCGAGCTGCACCTTTTGCGCCGCTTGCACTGCCAACGCCTTGTCCGCCGCGATCGACACCGGCAACACGTGCACGACGCCCAACGACGTCGACTGCAAGATCACCGCCTGCGAGTTGCTCAACGTGGCGATGCCGCGGATCTGGACCCCCGCCAAGCTGTTGTCCTTGGCCACGTCCGCGACCTTGGCCGAGTTGTCCTTGCCCACCGTCACGGTCGTCAATACGGACGTCGTCTTGTTCTTCAAAAAGTACGACAGGATCGCCGTGTTCGAGTTCTCGACGCCGCTGCGGGCCAACGACATGTACGCCAACTCGTCCGCCGGCAACGGGGCCGCGTCCAAGTACGCAGTGGTGCCGGCACCAGCGCGGATGGCGCCGGCGGGGGTGAAGCTCACCACCTTGCTCGCAATGTCGCCGTTCGCGGCAAACGTGTCGGCCGTCACCTTGACGCCCGACCGGGCCGAGTCGTTGAAGTGGAGCACGTACAGCACGATCACGTTGATCACCAAGAGCACGATCAGGACCAAGTGGACCAAGAACTTGCGCTTGGTGCGGGCGGCGTCGACGGCGACGTCTTGCTGGACGTACGGCACCTCAGAAGGATGGGCCATCACGTGCTCACGGCGAGGCCAATTGTATAATGATGTACCAGCTCATCCATGTTCGTGGATGAACGTTTGCAAATTGACATCCAACTTCAAGTTTTTTGGTGGATCCAATCAGAGGATGTGAATTGTAGATTCCATGGATTTATAGCCAATCGACGTTGTGTGTTATGCTTGAGTGGCTAGAATTGTCTCGGTACGTTCGAAGTGTATGTTGACCAAGTTTGTGGATCATGCAACAGTCACCACATCCACCAACCAGTTCCTTTACCGAGCGCACACAAGTGGGCTGGATACAACGAGCCACCCGCGGCTGCATCCTGCCCCCTCGTCAGTCCTCTCGTCAAGAGTTGGCGCCAGCAGAGTCGCCAGAATGTTCAGAAGTCGATGTTGGCACGTGCATTCGAGATCTTTCACGCGTCGACTGCCATCATGGCCAGCCAATCACGCGAACATTGCAGGCGCCAGGAGACCGCTCCCACTGCCATTTGCCCAGTTACGGCGGGGAATCTCATACAGTACAAGAATTGGAACGTACGACTTGGTTACGCTGAGATATTCGTACGTACAGCTAGACGTATTGCACGTACAGAAAAATCATACAAGAACTGTTCATTCGATCGAAACGTGCGCTTGCCAAAGTTGCTGGGCAGGAATGCTAGGCTCTGACGCGAGTGATACAAGTGATGGCGCGCAGGAGCGTGGGGGGAAGAAGACGATGAAGAAGCGCGGGCGAATGTGCTCTCGCCTTTCGTGAAGGGATTGGGTGCCGCCTTCGAGGCTGACCACAGTGGTAGAATGTTGGACGAGTACGGCAGGAACTCGAGACGAACAAGGTGTATGTGGTTGAAGTTCAAATGTCATGTTGGTGGCGGTGTGAGGCTGCCAGCAGCGCCATCCTCTGGCCTTCCAAATTGTCAGCGGGCTTGCTTCGTTGGCACCTTCTCGCCAGTCCGATTCAGATCGTTGAAGTGAATGCCCATTCAACCGCTGAACTCAACGCTGGTATCTCACACTGCAGGAACTGTCAAGGTTGTGGCCACGATCGAGCGATTATGGAACCCTAAACAGCATCGCACGCCGTCCGCACCCTTCAGGGAGGGCCGCCAGCAAACGACGAAGAGGGCCAGCAGCACACGCCAACGAGGGGTCAT